AAAAGAAAAATTCCAAAAGCAGTTCTAAAAGCGAGACTTAAAAATAGAGATCTGACACGATTGACTGAAGAACAAAAACAAACAGTCCGAACACATTTCGCAGAGTATAAACACGGAATATTACCAAAAGAGCGTGAATGTGAGGATTTGAAAGATCTCTACCCAGACTTGTTGGCTGATAAGGATTGGATGAAAATTGAAACGTTTGCTCAAAATCAGTGTAAAAAGGTGTCTGAAACAGAAAATGGGCAAGAAGTGATTCAAAATGAGACAGCATCGCCTATTGTAGATACCAATCTCCAAGAAGCATTTCTATCAAGAGAACATGAAGATAACCAGAGTCAGCAAGAGGTGATTCAAACTGAGACAGCATCGTCTGTTGTAGACACCACTCTCCAAGAAGCATTTATTTCAAGAGAACAGCATGATGATAACCAGAGTGAGCAAAAGGTGATTCAAACTGAGACAGCATCGTCTGTTGTAGACACCACTCTCCAAGAAGCATTTATTTCAAGAGGAAAGCATGATGATAACCAGCGTGAGCAAAAGGTGATTCAAACTGAGACAGCATCATCTGTTGCAGACACCACTCTCCAAGATGCATCTCTTTCAAGAGAAGAGCATGTCTATAACCGAGAATTATCAGTTGAAGAAGAGAACAGTGAAGCAAGAAATGATTCTAGACGCAGTGCTGAGCTATCTTCTACATTTGAAGAGGATATCAGTGGGTTAGAAATGCTGCCCAGAAAAGACATTACTGCAGATGATGAAATTGATGATAAAACACGTTTTGCAGAGTATATAAATCACATATTACCAAAAGAGCGCGAGGGTTTTGATGATCTGTATCCAGACTTGTTGACCGATAAGGATGTGATGGAAATCAAGGTGTTTATTAAAAAGGAATGTAGAGAGATGTCTGGAACGGAGAAGAGCCAAAGTGAGCATGAATTAATCCATAATGAGATAGCAGCGTCTCATGAAGAAACCAGTCTTCAAGAACACGATGATGACCGAGAGTTATCACCTGAAAAAGAGGAAGGAATTGTTACCACAGAAAATGATTCTCAGCGTAGTACTGAGTTATTTTCAGCATTAGACGAGGATGAAAGTGGATTAGAAACCCCCAGAGAAGATATTACTGGAGGTGAAGAAACAGACCATAAAACTGTTTTTGGGGATAAAAAAATCGCAAGTAGGACAAAAGCGTTTGAAAAGACGAGGCTTAAAAATGGAAATTTGATGTCATGGACTGAAGAACAGAAAAAAGTAGTCCAAACACACTTCTCGGAGTATATAAAAGACAGAATATCACCAAAGGAGCATGAAATTGAGGATATGAAAGATCTGTATCCAGATTTGTTGGCTAATAGAGATCGGAAGAAAATTAAAGTATTCTTCCAAAATTTATATAAGAAAGTGTCTGACATTACACGTGAGCTTAATGAGAAAGAAGTAAATCTTCCAGAGGCATCATATCCCCCTTCGGGATTTGAAGAGGTTGATGGCAGAGTACAACCATTTTTTAGAGGAGGTGTTTTTGACACAATTCATGATACCATGGAAATTCCAAATAAAACAGATGGGCAGGGTGATTATAGAAATGAATCATACTTTGCAGACGTAGACACATCTACTGACACAAGATTTTCTCAGGATGTAGTCGATACAAAAAATATATTGAATAGAATTAGTAGAAGTAAGAGAAAAAGTAGAGTTTTGATACCATGGACTGAAGAACAGAAACAGGTAGTGAAGACTTTCTTTGCTGATCATATTAAACACAGACAGGCTGTGAAACAGTATGAGTGTATCAGTTTGAAAAGTGAATATCCTGATCTTTTGGCGAATAAAGATTGGAAAAAGATTAAAGTTTACGTACAAAATTTGTATACAAAAAAGGCTAAATAGATAAATCATATTTGCCTAGTTGAGTATGAAAAGTAAATTATTTCAGCATAGATTTTTTCTTTCCCCGCTACTCAAAAAATTACGGCAGCAAGAAAAAAATACAAATTTTTGGCTGATTATTGACAGGATGTATTTCTTTGAAAATGGTTCTATATAGACACTAAAAAAGCATTTTGAAGATTCAAGATACTAGTTCTCATTTTTTTAGCCGACATTTTTTAGGAGCAACGGTTCTCAGGCAAAGTTTTACAAAATAAAGTTCTGAAAATATTGTTTAATTTTGATTGGCTTACAAGTTCTAATACACTTTTTTCAAATTTAAACAAATTAAGAGTGTTATTGGAGGTGGAACAATGTAAACTTGTTTATAAAATTATAAATAATCTACTAAAAAGTAACATAAATATTAGGTAATACCATAACGTGCATGCACCAAACAAGATCACTAAATAATGTTTATCAAATTTCCACAAGAACTAACATAGGTTTAAAAAATCCGATCACAGACGCAATTAAGAAATTTAATAATTTACCTCATTGTATAAAAGATTCAAATAACTATAGAAGTTTTGTTAGAGAATTGAAAGATTGTAAAAATGTTAATGAATTTATTTGTTGAAATTATGAGCAACATTGCAGTGTACCTGTAGTTCATAGATATTAATTATTGTCTTGTTATTCTCGGGGCCAGTGTTTGCAAACACTGATTAGGGAATTATTGTTAAAACTGGTTATACTTTTTGTATTATTGTGTTTAAATAAATTATTTCAAAAAAAAAAGACAAGAATACTGACCAGGGGCGATCTCTGGTCACCGAGATATCAGTGGTCGATGACAAAATCCTTTTTCATTCAAAGCCAGATATCTACGCACAAAATGATCGTATCGAGATTTTAAAAGTAGATGAGTATGCAATGCTCACCTAGTTCGCTGCACAGATATCCTGTTTCCCTCAGAAGAGTTGGAAGTAGACCTAATTTCCACTTTGGAGACACTCGACACCCACGTCACAACACTAAAACACCACTGAGAGAGAATAGAGAACCCTATAGTGAACACCACTACTGAAAAAAAGTAGCTAAACCGAATAGAGCTCTACACAGAACTGTGAACGCGTAAACATTCCGCCGCGCCGAAAGGTTGCCGAGAAACTGAAGCATGTCAGTGCTGTACCTCGCTGCGGCGATACGGTACGGCCGGATAGTACAGCCATGCGCCTTTCCAGCTCCCACTCCTCGCGCCTGCTTCCGTGGTAGTTGGTCAGAAATTAAACAGTTTTTCCAACCAATAAACGCACGCGGAGTGGGAGCTGGAAAAGGGCGTGGCTGTACTTTCCGGCCGTACCGGTACCGTATCGCCGCAGCGAGGTACAGCACACACACGCTTCAGTCTCTCGGCAACCTTCGGTCAACTTTTAAAACGTATGTCTATCCCGGGGTAACAACGGATCATTTAGAACGTCAAACCGGCTGTCTGACCTATATGATGGTCTAACAGAAAAAAAATTCAAGCCCGTGGACTAAAAAGAAGGTAAACATTTTGCAAAAAAAAATTCTGATATCTATTAGAATTTCATGAGAACAGTTTGCTAAAATACCTGAAGCTTCGGAATGCTTTTTTAAAAGTCTAAATGCGACCATTTTTCACCAAAATACAGCCTGTCAAAAATTATCGAAAAATTTGGATGTGTTTCTTGATCCCTTAATTTTTTTGATTAGTGTCGTTTGAGTTTATAGTTTTCCAACTACTGTTCTTGTATATGCATCAACTTACCTATCAGGCTACAATTTATTTATCAAAATACATAACTTTTCTACTATGTCTCTGTTTATAACGTATATTGCTTTATGCTCGTTGCAATATTGAATCAATCGTTCAGATTGAGTTCATATTTTTATTTCATTATTACAAAGAATGATTATCTTGTTTTTACAGTTTGTATGCTTGTAGTATTTATCTTTTAATATGTCGAGACTAGGGGGCCATTCAAGTATTACATCATCACCCAGGTGGTTATACAGGGTGTCCGCAAAGTTGGGGTTTTCCTTTTCAGAAACAACTACCCTTGAAATAACAACGGTAATGTGTAGTGAAACGAGGGCGACCAGGTAAACAAAAATAAAAGAATAAGTACTCACTCTCCAGTTGACGAGAAGGGCTAAGTACGTCTCTGCCCGAAATCATACCGCTCCAACAGAAAATGAAATCAGCTGATGCGCTACCGAGCAGACGCACCATGCCAGTCCAAACATTCACCGAAAATGTGCCCGACGGACAGCGTGCGGATTTTCTACTGACCAAACATGAGTGTTGCGAAAGTTATTCACCCCATTACGCGTGTCACCAATATGCACTTCAAAAAGTCCGGATTATTGTCATGTTGATGCAACAACCACTCACAAAACCGCACTCTTGCTGGAAAATCGTCAGGTTGAAGTGCTTGTACACGTTGGACGTGAAACGGATTCAGCCCCTCTTCACGCAGCGTTTGCCACACTTTAGTTTTTGATACTTGCACTTCTCTAGCCACGTCTCTAGTGCTTGTTGAGGGATTCTCGTCTATGCGATTACCTCTACACGCGTGATCGTAACCGTCGGTTGAAGGTTGCATACTGACCTGACACACTGACCCCGACCCAGTTCTGTCGTCGGGTTGAGCTAGTGTCCTAGTACCAGTCGGTGATGTCGCGGCTACAGGACGGTATTAAGATATTTTTGATGTTGCAGAGCCCTTTATCTCGGTTCCCTTAAGACTAAGAAAAATTGCTTATCTTTTCAAGATCTACACGTCGTGTAAAGGAAAACCCCAACTTTGCGGACACCCTGTATATTATTATAAATGGATAAGAATTCTGTGAATATATTTTTTTATATGTGTTTCGTTTACTGGTCAAGTTAAATACTCACAATAGCAGTAGTAACTGGTGGCAATATGTGTGTTTTATTCCTAATAAATTCGTTATTATTGTGATATCGCTGTGCTTCCTTTTCCTGCCATTGCACATAGTATCTAACAGGAGAGTCAAACAATATTGGTGGACATTTCTTGAACTCGAGAGATTGTTACGAAAATAAATATTTTCCACAGTTTGTACGTAGCACGACATTGCGAGATCATCTGTTGGCGCATACAGGCGAAAAGCCATTCGTCTGTCAACACTGCGGGAAACAGTTTAATAGGAAGCAATCTCTGACCAATCATGTGCTCATACATACTGGAAGGCACAACGAAAATGCTGTCGGGGTGTGAGCTATAAGTTAGGCATCAACTACACCAGTCGTTTTCCAATGTATGGTGTGGCAATTGAAACTGCATAGTGACGGAATTCGGGTGATTATTCCCGACTTCTGGTTGAAACTGTTATTTATAAGATAGGGATGCATCGGTAGTCAGTTTTTTTTTAAAAAGGTTGTACTCGCTGCATCCTAGTTATGGATGTCGATAGTATACTGTTGGAATGTAAGATATACTTTGTACAGGGTAATTATGGAAGAGATGATTATATACACAATCGTTAGTTATTTTTGATGTAGGGTAGAGTGGGGTTAACTGAACAGGTAGGTTAACTGAACACATCGATGTTCCTGCCATCTAGTAATGATGAATTAAACTTGATTTTGCCTTAAAGCGTCTTTTGTTACGTGTGTTGACACTGTTCGGTGCAGATTTCTTTTAAGTCGGTTCTAATCTCGTAAATCAGCAAACATATTTTTAATGGCCGCCACGTAAAATTTGTGCTCCCAAGTTTTTTTGTGTTACAGTTAGCAAAATAGAGTTTTTAAATTGGTTTGACGTATATTTTGTTCCAGTAAGTATTTTAGCATTTATTTCTTGTGTTTACCTAAGCTTAACATTATTTTTTAATCAAATTTTTCTTTTGCTTATGTATTGGTGCACAGTGGGTATAACTGGACATCTCATGTATGTGGTTATATGAACAGGTGTTCAGTTAACCTGCGTTATTTATTTATTATTATTTTGTCTACAAATTTAGTTTATTTTTTAGAATATGCCAAGAAAAAGACTACGTACTACCAATAACAGATCATATAGTGTAGCAGATCTTAGACAAGCATGTGAAGAAGTCCTGACACATGGTCGAACAACTCGAAGTGTTGCACTTCAGTTTAAAATCCCAAGAATTACTTTAAAAAGGTATGTCGATAAATGTCGGGAAAAAAACAACTTGGATATAAATTTTCGCCCCAACAACGAACATCTTTTGGCTTTTAGTCCCGATGAAGAATTACTTCTTAAAAAATACTTAGAGCATGCATCTAACATTCAGTATGGCTTGTCTTCTAAACAAGCTCGTATTCTAGCTTACGAGTTTGCGGTGGCCAATGGCAAAACCATAAAAGAAAGTTGGTCCCGAGAAGCAATGGCAGGCAAAGAGTGGATGTTTAGATTTATGAACAGGCACAACTTTTCGTTGAGGACGCCAGAACAAACAAGCTTAAGTAGAGCAACCAGTTTTAATAAGACAAATGTGGAGGCATTTTTTAAAAATTTTAGAGAGATTAAAGAGAGATATAATTTGCAATCTAATGATATATACAATCTAGATGAATCCGGTGTAACCACAGTCCATAAACCTCCTAAGGTTCTTGCAATTAAAGGAAAAAGAAATGTAGGCCAGATGACGTCGGCTGAAAGAGGGACGCTCGTAAGGAATTATTGGAGCTACAGGACAATATGTTCCTCCTTTTTTAATATTTCCCCGAGTACACTTTAAAGAAAATATGCTCCATGGAACTCCAGCTGGCTCTAAGGGTGGAGCTTCGCCTTCTGGATGGATGAACAGTCAGTTGTTTCTTCCTGTGTTGCAGCATTTCGTACAAAACGAGAGACCATCTAAAGAACATCCCAAACTAATAATCCTTGATAATCATGAGAGTCACTTAGGTATTGCAGCACTAAATTTTGCTAAGCAAAATGGTATACTCCTTTTGACATTGCCACCCCATTGCAGCCACAAGCTGCAACCATTGGATTTAGCAGTATTTGGGCCATTTAAAAAATATTATGGTGCAAGTTGTGACAGATGGATGGTAAATCATGCCGGAAAACCTATCACTATTTATGACATCGGATGTCTGGTTGGAGAGGCTTTTTTGCAAGCGTTTACTCCAAAAAATATATGCAGTGGATTTCGTGCAGCAGGAATAGAGCCGTTTAATGACCAAATATTTTCGGATGAAGAATTTCTTTCGTCATATGTTACAGATAGACCAGGGAAAACATCAGAGGAAGAGGCACCACAAGCTGGGTCGTCACAAGATAATACATCACTGCCTAAACCAATTCAACATGGCATGACAGATCCTGTTCTGTCACAATTTCAGCTCTCAAAATATCAAGAATTACAAGCCGGACCATCACAAGCTGAATCGTCGAGCACTGCTAACCTACAAACTGAAAAATCACAAACCAAACCGACTTTATCTTCAATTGAGATAAAAAAGCCGACATTTCAAATTATAACTCCTGAACAGATCCGTCCTCACCCCAAAGCTGGTGAACGAAAGTCTACAATTCGAAGAAAGAAAAAATCCCTGATTTTGACAGACACTCCAGTCAAAGAGAACATAGAGGAAGAAGCAAGACTTCGAGAAGAAAAAGCACAAAAAAAACCAAAAGAACTAACAAGAAAAAAGAGGCAGTAAAAAGACGTATTCTAGAAGACAGCTCTTCTGATGATGACAGTGTTATCTATGAAGAAAGCTCGGATTCTTTAGAAGAATTTGATGCATATGACGATAGTCCACAAGCTGTGACAAAAGGCGATTTTGTAATCGTGAAAGTGTATGGGCAAAATAAATTAAATGTTGGTGAAATTATTCATGCTGTAAATGATGGTTTTGAGGTTACTTTTTTAAAACGCCACAAAGAAACAAAATATTTTTTTAAAAATAATGAAAATGGCTTTGTTGTAAAAGCTGATATTGTTTGTAAGTTACCCATGCCAGCCAAAAGTAACAGCGCTAGATATGCCAACATGGTGTCATTTCAAGTTGATTTAAATGAATTTGACTTTACAGTTTATTAAAATTACCTACAATATTTTCATACATGTTCAGTATGTTTGACTTTACAGTTTATTAAAATTATCTATAATATTTTAATGTATCTTCAGTATGTTTCTTATTATAAATAAAAATGATTGTTAAAAAGTGTTGACATATTTTCTATGATATATTTTTAACATTTTTATTATAGCTAGTCGCCTTATTCGCTAGAGGGCTAGACTTGTATTTAGGGTATTAGGTTGGTAATAGTAAATGATGGAAAGCTTGCCAGCCTTCTTATGGTTTAGTGCCCTCAATTTTCCATGCATGGCCATTTTTGCTGTTTAACAATTTATGACAAATTTATTGTATATTTCTGTCAATTAAATAACAAAAATGGCAGCGCATGAAGATTCCAGGGCACTAAATCATAAGAAGCTGACAAAATTTCCATGTAGAAAGTGTTAAGTAAAAGTAAATTTAAAAAATATGTCTTGTTTGTACCTCTGTTCAGTCAACCTGCATAAGTGGTCCAGTTAACCTGACAGGCAGGTTAACTGGACAATTTGATAGGTTTTAACAAAAGTCAATCTGTCATACACATAAATTTAAATTTAACTTTAAACATTACGTTTTCCAATTACTTACATAACTACCAAAGCATGGTCACAAAGGTATGTTTTTAGCAACGATTTACTGGTCAAAAACAGAGTTTAAATTTTGGTGGGTCCAGTTAACCCCACTCTACCCTACATAAAGGCAATAAAACAATTTTTATTACGAAGTCTATTTATTTTAACATAATTTTCTGGGATTAAGGTCCGCTATTTTTTTAAATCTTCAAGTCCAAAGCTCCAATTGCTTTCCCAATTTGTTCCTGGACACCTTGCCTCATGTTTATGTTCTGGCCTCAGAAGCGTATGTTTGTGTTTATATAAATAACAGAAGGTTCATACAATATAATTAATTTGCCGATACTAAAGACACAAGAATCCTAATACACTTTTACGGTTGATGACACCTAAAATAATTTTCAAAATCCATTTTTGTACAACTTGTTCTTTAAATAAAAAGATATTCCTGAACTTGAATCTCATTTTAGCGATCTCAATTTATTTGTAAGATCTCTCTACCTGATCATGCCATTTGAAATGGTCATCAATCATTGTCCCCTATTATTTGTTATGTCTAACGATGAGAAATGTGAGGCTGTTCTTGGACTATCCTAGAAAGTTAAGAAAAATTTATTGTGAAAATTTTAGAGTGAAATTTAAGGTTTGCTGTTTTTCGAACCGGTACCCATGATTTAAGCTTGAAATAAATTACCGTGTCGTCTGCAAAACCGGTTATTTTGCCACGTCACTTGACAAATAATAAGAATAGAACAGGTCCTAAAATAGTACCTTGTGGCACACCATGATTAATAACACGTTATTCGCTTCCTTGATCTCCGTTTTACACACACTGATTTGACATTGAAGAACGTGAACGAAATAGATTTACATATTTTTTACGTTATGTTGATCATTTATAAAAAAGTCGAACATACCACCTCCATAATTGTTTTTATCCTCCCTCCTTCCCGTAAGCATTCCCCTCGAGGCTTTTTTGCAACAGTTAGGACAGTAAGTCATGACCCATCCATCTAATAGTCCTGACTTGGCACCTAGTGACTATCGCTTGTTTCCGCAGTTTTGACGAAAAATCAAAAGACCAGGTTCAGTATTTTCTGAAGAACCTGGTGGCGAGCTGGAGATACAAAAACTGCCACAGAGTCTATTAAAAAGTATCGACCAGAATTTAGATTTATAATGATCTATTAATAAATGAACTATATAGGTTTTTAGTGACGGTGTAATGTAACACCTCTATTGTGGTTTTGTCTGGTTAATCCATCTCTGCTTAATAATCTCCAATTTGTATAACCTGGTAACAGTTTTTAAGAAAATGACCTTAATGTTTATTTATCTGTCTTTCGAAATCACTTGGTTTTTGTCGTTAGTTAATGCTTTCACGCGTTTTTGTAGGTTCAGGAGATAGCGCCAATCAAAGTATCGTTCGAAGAAAAAATTATGGGTGGTCAAGAAGAACCAGATCAGACATTAACGTACAGAGAGCACAAAATATCTTCAGGAGGAGATAATTCAAAATCAGAAGCCAATATTAAAAATACGAGCCGAAAGCCTGAAATAAGAAAGGATCACTTTAGAAATGATAGATATTTAATGAAAAAAGATTTTTGCTATATTTGCAAGATAGATGTGATAGACTTCATGACACATTTAAAAAACAATCATCAGGAAGATGATGACGTCAGGATCATTTTTGCGTACCAACCTAATACAACATTGTCAAACATTTTGATTCAAAGGTTGAAAGAGAAATGGAACAGTCTCAAAAATAATTCCAATCATACGAATGATTTTCCGGTAAATCATGATAGCAATGGTAACTCCACGATTGACTGTTCTGCTACGGATAAGCCTGGTCTTCAGCTGGTTGAAGATCGTAAAATAAGTAAATCCTGCATGTTATGTAAAGGGGCGTCAGAGACAGGCACCGAAAATAAGAATGAAGAGCTTGTAAAATCAAATAGAGTAGCCGAAAATTATATACCCATGATTAAAAGAAAAAATATGTTCAATATATCTAAATCAAATCGCAGAGTCAAATCTGCTTATCACGAATTTAACACATTGAACTCAAATGAAAGCGAATTTAAGAAAAGTAGAAAAAATAGCTCGGTAATAGTAAAACAGTACTGTTTATTTTGCAAGACGGATGTGAGGGACTTTTTGAGACATCTATGGGTCAACCATCGCAGGTTCAACACAGTAAGGCAAATTTTCAAGTTTCCAGTCCATAGCAAGTCACGGGAGATTCTCGTTAACAGGTTAAAGGAAAAATGGAACAGTCTATAGGAAGAAACAATACTTAGTAAAATGGAAAACACTATAACTGGTAGTGAGTTTAATTCAGTACAAAATAGAGATGATATACACGTTTGCGGCATAAGCGATGATACAGCCGGAATTCGATCGACCAAAGATTCGGAAACATTCGTCCCAAACATGTCAGTCAAAGTGACCCTAGAAGGGGTTGATGCCGATGCTGTACAGGTCAGTATTGAAGATGTGGACGTAAAATTAGAAAATAAAATAGATGAAATTTTGGCGAATAGTTCATCTACTGGGGCAGTTATTCAAAATTATGAATATATCGATTCAAAAAACATGCAGGAATCTATCCCAAGTGCAAGCACCGAATCAGTAAATGGGAACGATTTGCTTATAAAAAAAGAAGATGGAGGTTACAGTGATTTCATAAACCAAGTTTTTGAAGCATCCTCACTAATGTTATCCGTAGAAGATGTTTCAAAAGTAGAGATTTCTGATTCTGCATTGAGTGGTATTGAAGACGTTGATGAAACATTTAAAACTGAAATGAACGAAACTTTAGAGGCGACAAATATTATAAAGGATGAATCGATAGATGAAGTGGAGATGCAAATTCCTTAATACCGTTTGTTTCTCAATTTTTAGATATTAAAGTACTCTAAACTGGGGATTTAGTGGAGGTTGTCTAGATAACTGGCAACCATGTCAAATAGGTTCCTCATGACTGGTGAAATAAGCAATTTGATTTGCAAGGCTGCATTTTTATTTTGTCACTAAACTAGCGACCCAAAAGTTAGCTATGAGATGACATACATGTTTTGAAAATAACTTCCGTTTTCAACCTCAAAACGTGTAATGCATAGCTGTATTCTCAAAACCTGTCCTACGCGGAATATAATATTAATAATTTATTGTTGCTATTACACAGAAATGTGTTCGAACAAGTCAGCTAAAGTAGAGAACAAGAGTAAGTAAAAACAACAATTACGTAAATGTAGTCTAATCCAGGCCTTTCCAACTCGAACACTAAGTGCTGGTGCCGTTCTCCCTCCACCTCGACCGCACAGCCGACGCGACAGAGATAAACATATTAGCCGACTGTCTCTCGAGCGCGGGCCATTTCTTAATAGGACAAGACAAAGTGGACCTTCAAGGTCATTTTAGATGGTCCAAAAGGTATAGAGCAACCAAAGTATCTCGAAAAATATGCTACCTAGAAAAATTTCGTCGTCTAACGGTGACCTTGAACGTGACCCTGACTATGATCTACAAGGTCATTTGAAGGTCAATAAAGTTTTCTTTAATGGAACTCCCTATTTTTCACGCAGCAAATGTAGAGTGAAAAATTTTACCTTCATGTAGGTCCTCTTCCATATCTTTGACTACTACCTTCAGGTCATTTCAGGTTGACCATAAGGTTGGAGAGAACAAAATATCTCGTAAAATATACTACCTAGAGAAAAAAACTTGCAAAGCAAAGTTGCAAGGTTAGAGAACATGAACGTGACCCTGACTATGATCTACAAGGTTACTTGAAGATCACGACAGTTTTCTTGAATGAAAATCCTCATTTCTAACACCGCAAATGTAGAATGAGAAATTTTACGTTCAAATAAGTCTTTGTCCATAGCCTTCCTACGACCTTCAAGGTTGTTTTAGGTTATCCAAAAGGCATGGAGAAAACAAAATACCTCGGAAAATATGCTACGTAGAGAAAAAAACTTGCAGAGCAAGGTTGGAAAAGGATCATCTAATGGTGACATTGAACGCAACCCTGACTATAACCTTCATTTGAAGGTCACGACATTTTTCTTAGATGAAAATCCCTATTTTTGACACCACAAATGAAGAGTGAGCAACTTTGCATTCCAGTCCTTGTCTACAACCTTGACTATGATCTTCAAGGTCATTTTAGGCTGTCCAAAAGCTGTGAAGAGAACAAAATATTTCGGAAAATATGCTAACTAGCGAAAAAAGTTGTAAGGTTAGAAAACGGTCATCTAATGGTGACCTTGAACGTGATCTACAAGGTCATTTGAAGATCAATAAAGTTTTCTTGAATGGAACTCCCTATTTTTCACGCAGCAAATGTAGAGTGAAAAATTTTACCTTCAGGTAGGTCCTCTTCCATATCTTTGACTACTACCTTCAAGGTCATTTCAGGTTGACCATAAAGTTGGAGAAAACAAAATATTCGTAAAATATACTACCTAGAGAAAAAAACTTGCACAGCAAAGTTGCCAGCTCAGAGAAGGGTTATCTTATGGTGGATTTGAACGTGACCCTGATTACGATCTACAAGGTAATTTGAAGGTCAATAGTTTTCTTAAATGAAACTCCCTATTTTTGACGCAGCAAATGTAGAGTGAGAAATTTTACGTTCAGGTAGGTCCTTATCCATATCCTTGACTACTACCTTCAAGGTCATTTCAGGTTGACCATAACGTTGGAGAGAACAAAATATCTCGTAAAATATACTACCTAGAGAAAAAAAAACTTGCAAAGCAAAGTTGCAAGGTTAGAGAACATGAACGTGACCCTGACTATGATCTACAGGGTTATTTGAAGATCACGACAGTTTTCTTGAATGAAAATCCTCATTTCTAACACCGCAAATGTAGAATGAGAAATTTTACGTTCAAATAAGTCTTTGTCCATAGCCTTCCTACGACCTTCAAGGTTGTTTTAGGTTATACAAAAGGCATGGAGAAAACAAAATATCTCGGAAAATATGCTACGTAGAGAAAAAAACTTGCAGAGCAAGGTTGGAAAAGGATCATCTAATGGTGACCTTGAACGTAACCCTTACTATGACCTTCATTTGAAGGTCACGACATTTTTCTTAGATGAAAATCCCTATTTTTGACACCACAAATGAAGAGTGAGCAACTTTGCATTCCAGTCCTTGTCTACAACCTTGACTATGATCTTCAAGGTCATTTTAGGCTATCCAAAAGCTATGAAGAGAACAAAATATTTCGGAAAATATGCTAACTAGCGAAAAAAGTTGTAAGGTTAGAAAACGGTCATCTAATGGTGACCTTCAACGTAACCCTGACTATGACCTTCACTTTTCTCAAATGAAAACCCATATTCTTGACAAATGAAGAGTGAGAAATTTTACATTTCCTTTTCCGTAACCTTGACTATGACCGTCAAGGTCATATTAGAGAACAAAACATCGCGTATTTTGAATATCTCGAATTCTCGAATTTTTTGGTAATTACACGACTTCGTGTAGCAACGAAATAGAAATGTTTGCTTGGAATTCAAATTTTCTGCAGCTCCAAATAGCGTCTTGGATCAATGATGGTTGCTAGTTATATTTAGACAGGTGTGTAATGTGTACGTAGAATGCTTAGATTTTTGTTACTATTTTCATGTGGATCTCAATAAAGATTATTTTTTACCGCCGTGCGTAGCTTTTTTTTCAACAATAGGACCCTTTGGGTAAAGCAGCTTCGTTGTCGTTGAAAGGAAACATCTTGTTTTTGTTTAAAAAATCCTTACGGTTATTACGTAAAAAACCTAAACGAAAAATAAGATAAACATTTTATTAAATAATCCTGTATATATACAAGTAAAAAAATGAGTAGTGCCTAAAATAGCTGACATATTTAAGCTTACATTAAAAAATCACAAATCGTCGTCATCATCATCATAATATTCGTTGTACGTCTCCATAGTTGTGACAGCTTGTGATTTTTTCTGCGCAAATATTTTGCTTGCAACTTCAAATCCGGCAAATAATTCACTCAAGTTTATCACGGAATAGCCAGAATCATTCAAAACCTCTTCGACAGTTTCCATCAACGTGAAGTAACCTTCCTGTACGTCATACTCTAGGACGGTTTCTGAAATGATGAAAATTCATTCAACATTTTATCTAGATATCGGGACGAGTCATTAATTTTGATCGGACAGAAAAAAAATTAATACAATATTTTTTCCAAACACCGCAAAACTCTCATGTTCGGAAAATATTTTACATTATACTGAGTGGATTTTATTGTTAATTTGCAGATATGTAAGAAGAAATACAATATTACATTATTCAAAAGTTATGACACCAATTTCTCCGAAATAAAACACGCTATTATCGTTATTGTGAAAAACTTACTCGTAAACCTAGAGGGATCCATGAGGTACCTGAAGTAAGCAATTTGTGTGTACAACTGCCCCTCATTGTACGTGCGATACAAAACGCCTTGTTTGCAAACAAAACACACCGGGTGTCTACGTACAAAACGTAAAGGCAATCGTCTAGTCGACACGTTTAAACATGCTGGATCTTCACACGTCAACTCGCAATCGTAGTATCTGGAAAAAATACGCATTACAGTTATCGCGAATCGGATGTAAATCGATTTCAAACTGACGAAGACTTTTGTATATATAGTCCAAAAATCATGATGGATACATTAAAATATCTCGAAAAATAACTTTCTTAGAAAAAAATGTTGTAGAACCAAGTTATAAGGTTTGAAAAGGTTCATCTAATGGTGACCTTGAACGTGACCCGGACTATGACATACAAGGTCTTCTGAAATGAAAATCCCTATTTTAGAAATTTTACGTCTTTGTCCATACCCTTGACCACGACCTTCAAGGTCATTTTAGATGGTCCAAAAGGTATAGAGCAACCAAAATATCTCGAAAAATATGCTACCTAGAAAAATTTCGTCGTCTAACGGTGACCTTGAACGTGACCCTGACTATGATCTACAAGGTCATTTGAAGGTCAATAAAGTTTTCTTGAATGGAACTCCCTATTTTTCACGCAGCAAATGTAGAGTGAAAAATTTTACCTTCAGGTAGTTCCTCTTCCATATCTTTGACTACCTTCAAGGTTATTTCAGGTCGACCATAAAGTTGGAGAAAACAAAATATTCGTAAAATATACTACCTAGAGAAAATCTTGCACAGCAAAGTTGCAAGCTCAGAGAAGGGTTATCTTATGGTGGATTTGAACGTGACCCTGACTATGATCTACAAGGTAATTTGATGGTCAATAGTTTTCTTAAATGGAACTCCCTATTTTTGACGCCGCAAATGTAGAGTGAGAAATTTTACGTTCAGGTATGTCCTTATCCATATTCTTGACTACTACCTTCAAGGTCATTTCAGGTTGACCATAAGGTTGGAGAGAACAAAATATCTCGTAAAATATACTACCTAGAGAAAGAAGATGCAAAGCAAAGTTGCAAGGTTAGAGAACATGAACGTGACCCTGACTATGATCTACAAGGTTATTTGAAGATCACGACAGTTTTCTTGAATGAAAATCCTCATTTCTAACACCGCAAATGTAGAATGAGAAATTTTACGTTCAAATAAGTCTTTGTCCATAGCCTTCCTACGACCTTCAAGGTTGTTTTAGGCTATCCAAAAGGCATGGAGAAAACAAAATACCTCGGAAAATATGCTACGTAGAGAAAAAACTTGCAGAGCAAGGTTGGAAAAGGATCATCTAATGGTGACCTTCAACGTAACCCTGACTATCACCTTCATCTGAAGGTCACGACATTTTTCCTAAATGAAAATCCCTATTTTTGACACCACAAATGAAGAGTGAGCAACTTTGCATTCCAGTCCTTGTCTACAACCTTGACTATGATCTTCAAGGTCATTTTAGGCTGTCCAAAAGCTGTGAAGAGAACAAAATATTTCTGAAAATATGCTAACTAGAGAAAAAAATTGTAAGGTTAGAAAAAGGTCATCTAATGGTGACCTTGAACGTAACCCTGACTATGACCTTCATTTTTCTCAAATGAAAATCTCTATCCTTGACACCACAAATGACGAGTGAGAAATTTTACATTTCCTTTTCCGTAACCTTGACTATGACCTTCAAGGTCATATTAGAGAACAAAATATCGCGGAAAATATGCTACCGAGAGAAAAAACTTGCACTGCAAGGTCGGAAAGGGTCATCTATTGGTGACCTTGAACGTGACCCTAACTATGGCCTACAATGTCAAGAAAGTTTTCTCAAATGGAAATCCCTATTTTTCATACTGGAAATGTAGAGTGAGAAATTTCACGTTCAAGTCCTGGACCATAACCTTGACCTTCAAGGTCATTATAGGTTGTCCAAAAGCTGTGAAGAGAACAAAATATCTCGGAAAATCTGCTACCTAGAGAAAAAAGTTGAAAGGTTAGAAAGGGGTCATTTAATGGTGACCATGAACAAGACCCTGACTATGGCCTTACAAGGTCATTTAAAAGCCACGACAGTTTTCTTAAATGAAAATCCACATTTTTACACCCAAAATTTAGAGATAACAATTTTACGTTCCAGTAAGGCATTGTCCATAACCTTGCCCACGACCCTCAAGGTCATTTCAGGTTGTCCAAAGAGAGAACAAAATATCTTGGAAAATATGCTACCCAAAGAAAAAACTTGCACTGCAAGGTCGAAAAGGGCCATCTATTGGTGACCTTGAACGTGACCCTATGGCCTACAATGTCAAGAAAGTTTTCTCAAATGGAAATCCCTATTTTTCATACTGGAAATGTAGAGTGAGAAACGTTCAAGTCCTGGACCATAACCTTGACCTTCAAGGTCATTATAGATTGTCCAAAAGCTGTCAAGAGAATAAAATATCTCGGAAAATCAGCTACCTAGAAAAAAAAGTTGAAAGGTTAGAAAAGGGTCATCTAATGGTGTCCTTGTCCATAACCTTGACTATGACCTTCAACGTGATTTTAGGCTGTCCAAAAGCTGTGAAGAGAACAAAATATCTCTGAAAATATGCTACCTAGAGAAAGAAGTTACAAGGTTAGAAAGCGGTCATCTAATGGTGACCCTGAACGAGACTCTGACTATGGCCGTACAAATCACGACAGTTTTCTTAAATGAAAATCCCCATTTTTTACACCGAAAATTTAGTGAAAAATTTTACGTTCCAGTAAGCCCTTGTCCATAACCTTGACCACTACCTTCAAGGTCATTTTAGGTTGTCCAAAGAAAGAACAAGATATCTCGGAAAATATGCTACGTAGAGAAAAAACTTGCATAGCCAAGTTGCAAGGTTCGGAAAGGGTAATCTATTGGTGACCTTGAACGTGACCCTGACTGTAACCTAGGTTTTTTCAAATAGAAATCCTTATTTTTCACATTGGAGATGTAGAGTGAGAAATTTTACGTTTAAGCTTCGTCCATAACCTTGAACTTCAAGCTAAACTCAATAAAAGACGTTTGTTATTAAAACTTCTTGGAGAACATATCAGGGAGATTTGAGAAAGGCATGAGCCCAGAATTTGATATCACATTTGCAATTGTTTGATTTACAAAAGTTGTGTAATTACCCGGTACTCGGTGCATCTCTACCAATGAGAATTGATTCCTTAATCACCGTTCATAACGAAAACAGTACAAATGGACATAACTATCGCAGTTACATAATAAATAGTGCCGTTCTCGGGTTTCTAGGATTCCATATGCTTACCTCTCAATATACCCCCGAATCGACAACGTGAGCTGATTCTGCACGTGCGCGAGATAATCCACCGGCCTGTAACGACAACCATCGCTGCTACAAGCCCTTCCCAACCACGCACCCGCGTCATCCGCCTCCAAGTCGACCTTGCACCCCAAGCACTGGAACCGGAAACGGCCTGCGTTGCGGTACCGCACTTCCGGTCGGATCGTGTTCTCTCCTACGTCACGATTCGATGAGGCGGGGCCACGCGCTTTCGGTGCTTCAACGCCCAGGCATTCAGCGATAAGGAAGGCGTCTATGCCCTCTACCGGTTCGCAGATACGGGATATCACCGGCTGCACCTGGAAACAAAACGACAAATATTGATTATGAGGTAAAATCTGTAGATTATAAAAAATGTGTAAAGTTATTTAGACAAAAAATTTTAAGCAAAAATTTAACAACTTTTCAAGAATTAATTAATTTAATTGAAGACTGCAAAAGTAAATCGGTATATATAAAAAAATTAAGAATACGTACAAATAACACCTGGATAAATAATGAAGTCCTTGAGCTTATCAAAAAAAGAGATAAATTATATAAAAGAAAGATTAACCAACCAGAAAGCTTAACTATCATCTCTGAATTTAAAAACATCAAAAATAAAATAAACAATAAAATACGTGCTTTGAAGAACCGTTATTTCCAAACTAAATGGAGCTTAGCTGGAAACAATGTAAAGAAACAATGGGCTTTTATAAACAGCCTAATACAAAATAAGGAGTATAAAGTAAGAATTGATCAACTAGTAACTGAAAATAACATTATTAACACTCAACTTGATATTCCAAACAATTTAAATAAATACTTTTCTCGGGTCGGTGGATCAATTGTTGAAAATTTGGAAGCAGAGATTCAGCAGTTGAATGAGTTTATTTCTGTTGGTGAGGTTCACAACGAAGATTCTATTTCGATAACATTGACTAATAAAGAAGAGTTGTTGGAAGTTGTGAAAGAACTAAAAATAAACTCAGCACCTGGATATGACGGTATCACGGTTAAGGATGTAAATAATCTTGGAGAATACTTAATACCTGTTTTAGTACGATTAATCAATGAAACTATACAAAAAGGAATATTTCCATCAGAATTGAAAATAATTAAAATAACCCCACTTTTTAAGTCGGGAGATATTAAATGTATGAACAATTACAGGCCTATTTCAGTGGTGTGTGTATTCTCTAAGATTATAGAAAAAATAATGAAAAAAAGAATGTTATCTTTCATTGTTACTCACAATATATTGATTGATGAATTTCAATATGGTTTTATAATGAACAGTAGCACACTTAGTGCGGTTGTTGATTTTGTGGACTACATTTCAATGGCTCTAGATAAACAACAAATAGTTGTAGCTGTTTTCATTGTCCTAAAAAAAGCTTTTGACGTAGTAAGCGTAGACATTCTTTTAGATAAATTGTTTAAAATGGGATTTAGAGGTGTTTCGTACAGCTTGATTAAGTCTTATTTATATGACAGAAAACAGTACATAAAGCTTGGAGACATTGATAGTGAATGGTTATCTAGCACCTATGGAGTACCACAGGGGTCAGTTCTTGGACCTCTGTTATACAGTCTTTATGTACTGAACCTCAAGTTGGCCAATCTGAGGGGAAGATATTTTACCTTTGCAGATGACACTGTACTGGTATATACTGGAACAGACGAAATTGCTTTAACGAATCTTATTAATGATGACCTGAATAGTTATCTTAAATGGCTGTTTTCGAATAGATTAAAAATTAACATTGAAAAAACAAAATACATTATATTTAAACAAAAAAATAAGATAGTTAGCAATAATCTAAATATTAACATAAATAATATAGCGCTAGAAAAAGTGTCAAGTATTAAATATTTGGAATTACTGATAGATGAAAGTTTAAATTGGTCACTTCACGTAAATGGAATTTGTGATAAAATAGTTTCAATGCTATCTGCCTTATATAAGAGTCGAGATTATTTGTGGAACAAAAGCAAATTTCAAATTTATAATGCCTTCTTTCATACACATTTTAGGTACCTCTTGCCAGTATGGGGTATGTGCGGTGAAGTTAATTTTAATAAAGCTCAAGTTTTACAAAATAAAGTTCTGAAAATATTGTTTAATTTTGATTGGCTTACAAGTTCTAATACACTTTATTCAAATTTAAATTTAAACAAATTAAGAGTGTTATTGGAGGTGGAACAATGTAAACTTGTTTATAAAATTATAAATAATCTACTAAAAAGTAACATAAATATTAGGTTCTACCATAACGTGCATGATCACCAAACAAGATCACTAAATAATGTTTATCAAATTTCCACAAGAACTAACATAGGTTTAAAAAATCCGATCACAGACGCAATTAAGAAATTTAATAATTTACCTCATTGTGTAAAAGATTCAAATAACTATAGAAGTTTTGTTAGAGAATTGAAAGATTGTAAAAATGTTAATGAATTTATTTGTTGAAATTATGAGCAACATTGCAGTGTACCTGTAGTTCATAGATATTAATTATTGCCTTGTTATTCTCGGGGCCAGTGTTTGCAAACACTGATTAGGGAATTATTGTTATAACTGGTTATACTTTTTGTATTATTGTGTTTAAATAAATTATTTCAAAAAAAAAAAATACGACTGGATTCATGTTTCAGCCAAACTATTTGTTAAAAAATCCATAGATGCACAACAGATCGTTCTCGACACTGCTAGTACTAAAAACTGGGGCAAACATTACATATTAGCCAATTCGATGAAAAAAAAAACTCCCATACAAACACGATCTGGAAAAGCTCCTGGTATGATACGATACGCTGGACAAAGACTTTTAGATCCTAAAAACTCACCTGTTGCGCCAAATAGTAGTGAGCATCGATCTTGAGATCATCCGGTCGCTTTTTCAACTCCTCGATGTGGTACGTTCGTTGCGTAGGGGGATTAGTCGTTCCATCTGTGCAAACTACGTACGGTACAGTATCGCCAGCTCTGAATCTTCCTTCCATTCGCAACGCTACTCGCACATGTGGCTGAAAGTATTTCATATTGACGCATTCAAATAAATGTTTTTAGTAACACATCGAAATCATGTCAAAGTTTCACAACGTATAGTTAGATCCATCCGGCAGGTAACTGTACATACTTTCAGCTGTCAGATATGAAATACATGAGAGTTTCTTAATACCAAGTCTGGTCCCAAGATTAATGTGCAAAACTATCGAACAGTACGTCTCCAATCCGAAATTCCCAAGCTTCTAGGTTAGCTGGTATAAAAGACACTGCCAAGGAACACTCGACACGGCAGGAAGATCATCTGCTACAAATTTAATAATTTATGAGAACTTTATAAAAGCTGCAACAAGCTCCAAGTAGACTCCATCTACATGGATTATACAAAAGCTTTCGACAGAGTAAATCACAATCTGGTTTTGGCTAAATTAGAAAGTTTGGGAGTATGAAGCAGTCAACTATCTTGGTTTAAAGCTGCCTCTCAGGACGAACACAGTGTGTCAGATATGCTGGTTCATTATCTGATCCCATCAATGTCTTTTCAGGTGTACCCCAAGGCTCCCACATTGGTCCAGTTTTATTCAATTTATTTGTTGACGAACACAGTGTGTCAGATATGCTGGTTCATTATCTAATCCCATCAATGTCTTTTCAGGTGTACCTCAAGGCTCCCGCATTGGTCCAGTTTTATTCAATTTATTTGTTAATCATGTTGCAGATTCTACAGGGTGTAAACGTTATGGTAGACATTATTGGCATGGGTAAAAAAAGTTCACATGACGCATGGACCAAAAGTCAATAGATTTTTGTCTAAACGGCTTTATAGTTTACAACTTTAAGCGCTTTATATCGACCACAATCACCTACCAGAACTTTTGGAACAGACCTTAGACAACATGCCATTACAACGGTGTGGTTTCTTCATGACGGGGCACCACCACACATTTTTAGAGGCGTCATTCAGTATTTGAATGAACATTATCCAAATCGCTGGATCGGTCGAAATGCTCCTTTTCCTCGAAAATGGCCAGCAAGATCTCCTGACCTCAATCCGATGAATTTCTGGTATTGGGGAGAACTTAAAGAGATGGTTTATGGGGCTGGTCCAATAACAACTGAAGCACAACTTCGCGAAAAATTTGTTAATGCGGCTGAAATAATAAATGGAGAACTTCGAGGACGTAGAGTAAGAAGAAACTGGGCTCGTCGTAATGAAGCTTGTGTGGAAAGTGAAGGACCATATTTTGAACACAAATACAAAAAAAGTGCAGTGTGGGTCTTAAAAAGAAAACTATGTATCAAAATTGAGTTTTGTGGATTTTTTTAATACGTTCAATAAACTTTCACACACCAGGTGAAACGTTGAGACAGTTGGAAGTCCGTTTTTTTTAATTGTTTGCATTTTACGAGTACATTATCAAATAATGAAATAATACCTAAGAGCCAAAAATAACAAACTCCATCTTTATTATTTACTTTAAAGTCGCTTTTCTCTAAAAAAATGCCGTTTTGACACCCATGTTATATGAAACTGTTTGCTTCTTTTAACGCCCTCTATCACCCATTTAAATAATGACTATCATAACGTTTACACCCTGTATGTTTTCAGTAGCAATATTAAGCGCTTCAAAAATGTTTCTTTTTAACTTTGGTTTGCTAAGTTTTAAATATAAGTAGGTTGGGTATCACAGTTCAATAAATTGTCACATAAACATATTTTTTTTACGTAACGGGAAACCGTAAATAAGAAAAAAATATTTTGAAGCCAATGTAAATATGATAAAAGTTTGTGAGATTACCTGTTGCTGGGCATCAGCATATGCTTTGACGTCTTTCGTTAATTGTTTGGTGATCACCAAAAGTGGTAAAGGTACTCGACCTTCCTCCAAATCTGATCGGAGTTTGCACAGGTACTGCTGGACAGCTGCAGCGCGCTCATCTGAAGACTGGTCACTCAAAATATGTTCGAGAACGAACTTACCACTTTCACTAGCCACCTAGAAAGGTAAACAAAATTCAGAAATATAAACGATACAAAAGGTCATTGATTCTCCAAGATTGATTTCAGACTTCAGATATTCATCAACGATACAATGTGGCGATCCTGATATGTTATTTTGACCTTCGGAATCGATCCTAAACATTACTAGGGCGTAGAGAATAAATTAACGCTTATTTTCAACATGTATCTTAATTCAACAAATTGGTTTTAATATATTGGCAACGCGGCAGATTTCCGCGTCAGCGTTGCTAGGCAACGCGGTGATGAGCTTCCCTATCCAGTCAGCTTCTGTCTCTTTCAAACATTTGTATCTATGCATACTTTTCAAGCAGTCAAACAAGGTTGGTTTTCCCTGTATACAGTTTATTAGACGTTCTAAAAGAGGTATTCCCACAATGCAGCACCAATTTGTATTGATAATAGTTTTCTGTACTGATAAAAATTCTCAAAAGCGAAATGTACACGCTCGCGACCAAGTGTCGATCTTTTTGATTAGCTGCTATCGTACACACTGACGTCACGTAATCAGATCTGGAAGACAGATAAAGAAAATACACTGTCATTATTGTCTTTTTAACCGCGATGGCCGAAACGTCGTACAATCAACAGAAATTAAAACAATTGACAATGGAGTCCTATGGACTGAAAAGGAAGTCCAACAACCTGAGACAATAGTCCAAGAGGTGGCAAAGTTAGCACCTAAAGACGGTGGTCGATAGATATACAGTTGTAAGCATAAGTGGTACAGCTTATAATTGGATTGGTTATCTTCTAGTGACATCAATGATGAAAATCATAACAAGTATTGAACTGAAATGACTTACCGGAGACCAATCTCTTCTAACGATATCCAATCCCTTGTATTCACGAATTTCGCGCAATTTCCCATCCGGTCCCTTTGACAATGTTACAGCAGCGTATTTCTTCTTTTTCAAAAGCAGCAAATATTTAAAAACGCCGTCTACGTCAAGTTCGACTTGCCTATACAGTTTGTTCACCTCTTGTTTTATCTTTAAACCGATCTTCGTCACCTAAAAATGTAAATCGTTTGTATATAGTCAACAAATTCTGAAGGAGGTCAGAATCTAAATGATCGACTATCACTATAACTAGGACAGTGGAAAAATCTATCTTTGTTGAAGGTTTAAGGACTTATAACATTCAAGTGTCGACTGATGTTGAGAAATACGAATCGTACCTGATCATATTCCAATAAATTAGTGCTGATCATGATACTGTCGGTGTCACCGTACACGACCTCGTAGCCCATCTTCTCGACCAAATCCTTGGTATGCGTTAGAATTTCTCGACCTTTGTGCGTGACCAGAGCGGCTAAAGATCGCGCATAGAAACGAGAATTCGAGAATCCTAAACATCCGTACATACTGTTGGCTGTCAACTTCAGCGCCATTTGACGGATGTTGTACTGCATTCTTTGATCGCTCGCTATGTCGGGTGCGTTCATCAATTTTTTCACCTGAAAGGAGCGCAAAAGGGGTAAGCAAGGGACGTCCAAACATGTACAGGGTGGCCAATATATAACTGACTGATTTAACAACGAACAAATAAAGACTTGCCAAGGTCGGGCCGTGTTCGAACTGTTCGTACTCCGGAAAATATCGAGAGTTCGTGAAAGTGTAGTGGAGCGCCCTGAGGCGTTTACCTGACCAAGAACTGGGTATTCGTCGCACGTCATTATGCACTATTTCAAAAAAAGATACAAGATACAAACCAGTCAGTTACATATCGGCCACCCTGTACTTTGTTTCGATTTTGATTAAATTTTCACACAAAGAAAAAGCTTTGTCGCTTTTGAAAATCGGTCCAATAGCGGCTGAGCAAAAGGCAAAAAACGAAAAAAATGAAAATAGCTCATACTTCGTTTTTTGTCATTTCCTCTGATCCTGATCGTTTTCAGAAACGATTTTGCAGGGATTAAAGATTTGTTGGAAAATCCTTTAATATCAAAAGTTACTGTACGATAAAAAACTGAATAGAGATTTCTACCAGGGCGTTTTATGAGAATAAAACCGACAAAATAACAAAAAAATACATCTCTTCTGCTCTCTACAAACTTTCTAATTTCTGTAGGCAATACTCCTGGTAATTAAAATAAAATTAAATATCCAAATATTAATAATTAAATTTTCACACAAGGATGGAAAAGCTTTGTAGCTTTTGAAAATCGGTCCAATAGCGACAGAGCGAATAAAAAAAAACTCGAATTTCGTTTTTTGTCGTATCCCTTGATCCTGATCGTTTTCAGAAACAATTTTGCAGGGGTTAAAAATCTGTAGTATTTGTTGGAAAATCCTTTAATATCAAAAGTTACTTGTAGGATAAAAATCAAATAGAGATTTCTACCAGGGCGTTTTATGAGAATAAAACCGACAAAATAACAAAAAAATACCTCTCTTCTGCTCTCTACGAACTTTCTAATTTCTGTAGGCAATACTCCTGGTATTAAAATAAAATTAAATATCAAAATATTAATAATTAAATTTTCACACAAGGATGGAAAAGCTTTGTAGCTTTTGAAAATGGGTCCAATAGCGACAGAGCGAATAAGAAAAAAACTAGAATTTCGTTTTTTGTCGTATCCTCTGATCCTGATCGTTTTCAGAAACAATTTTGCAGGGGTTAAAAATCTGTAGTATTTGTTGGAAAATCCTTTAATATCAAAAGTTACTTGTAGGATAAAAATCAAATAGAGATTTCTACCAGGGCGTTTTATGAGAATAAAACCGACAAAATAACAAAAAAATACCTCTCTTCTGCTCTCTACGAACTTTCTAATTTCTGAAGGCAATTCTCCTGGTAATTAAAATAAAATTAAATATCAAAATATTAATAATTAAATTTTCACACAAGGATGGAAAAGCTTTGTAGCTTTTGAAAATCGGTCCAATAGCGACAGAGCGAATAAAAAAAAACTCGAATTTCGTTTTTTGTCGTATCCTCTGATCCTGATCGTTTTCAGAAACAATTTTGCAGGGGTTAAAAATCTGTAGTATTTGTTGGAAAATCCTTTAATATCAAAAGTTACTTGTAGGATAAAAATCAAATAGAGATTTCTACCAGGGCGTTTTATGAGAATAAAACCGACAAAATAACAAAAAAATACCTCCCTTCTGCTCTCTACGAACTTTCTAATTTCTGTAGGCAATACTCCTGGTAATTAAAATAAAATTAAATATCCAAATATTAATAATTAAATTTTCACACAAGGATGGAAAAGCTTTGTAGCTTTTGAAAATCGGTCCAATAGCGACAGAGCGAATAAAAAAAAACTCGAATTTCGTTTTTTGTCGTATCCCTTGATCCTGATCGTTTTCAGAAACAATTTTGCAGGGGTTAAAAATCTGCAGTATTTGTTGGAAAATCCTTTAATATCAAAAGTTACTTGTAGGATAAAAATCAAATAGAGATTTCTACCAGGGCGTTTTATGAGAATAAAACCGACAAAATAACAAAAAAATACCTCTCTTCTGCTCTCTACGAACTTTCTAATTTCTGAAGGCAATTCTCCTGGTAATTAAAATAAAATTAAATATCAAAATATTAATCATTAAAATAATAATTAAATTTTTAACCAATTACGAAAAAGCTTTGTAGCTTTTGAAAATCGGTATAATGGCGGCATAGCAAAAGGTCAAAAACGAAAAAAATAAAAATAACTCATACATCGTTTTCAGAAACAATTTTGCAGGGGTTAAAAATCTGAAGTATTTGTTGGAAAATAAAAAACTGAGATCCAGATCTGTACCAAGGCAAACAGACAAAATAAAAAAATACCTCTCTTCTGCTCTCCACCAACTTTCTAATTTCTGTAGGCAATACTCCGGGTGGCGTGTCTCTTGACGGCAATACAATTTCAGGGGCATCTTCCCTATCACTCGAGGCAGGCAGGGTGGTAAAGCAGATGTTATACTCTTGTATTATGCTTGGATACAAAGAATTAAAGTCCATCAATAACACGAGTTTATCGTAAAAGCCAACCTTGGGTTCTAACACGAGACCGCCTGAATACGTTGGTTTCTTTCTTGCAGATTGCTTAGCTCCATCATCATTCCTAGAGACAAGAGTTGAATCATGATCTCTTTTTTGCCGTAAAAATAAAATGGAAGGATAGCGTTTACGTACTTTTTGTATTGTTTGGCCGGAACGATGTAATCTTTCTCAGCAAACGCGTGCAAAAGCAGGAATTCGTTACGCTCTGATCTACCGCCCAATAATGTTCTGGACATCACACAGCCAGCAATATTTGTTATCTGAAACCGAAAGCCTTGATTTATTCAATGCCGCGAAATTCCCCTTCGCGGACACCGCCTCTAAACGGCCCCCACCGTCTCTCATACAGGGTCAGAAAGAACGCATGTTTTTCGAATGGATACTAAATCGAGATAAGTCCGGAAGATTTGGAAATCTAGTGCCGTGGAATGGATAAAGAGGAAAGTGTTTTTCATGAAATGTCTGGCGAAGAGATTATAAAAAAGGTTTCTAATTATACAACAAACAATCAGGAAAATAACGACGACGTGATTGCAACTGCTCGACAAGTCACAGCACAAGACGCAATTAACGCCTTTGAGCTAGGTTTACAATGGGCTGAAGAGAATGGTACATCCTACAACGAACTTTTACTTTTGAAAAGACTGAGGGACAAAGCTCTGATCGCGCGTTATAACAACCTTAAACAAAAAAAAAATTGATGAATATTTCCAAGCTTCATAATTTGATAAATTCATTAATGATTTTGATTAATAATTCTGGATTATTTTGGTACATATGTATGTGCATTTATGCTTAATTTTATAATAAAACGTAAGCTCTCTATTGTTATTTAATTTACTAAATTCGACATACATAAACTATGTATGATTTGTACTTCAAAGTACACACATATACATAACATATATAATCATACCATTGGATATGTAATTTCTCGGATTACAAGGTGTGGTTTATCTGAAGTCACTTGAAATAGCATAAAAACCTTTGGCGCGTCCTTTGTAATTTCATGACGTATCATAGGCGTGCGGTTATTTATTTTGAACGATAATAATAATGTTTTTATATCACAATAAATCGATTTTACTATCTTCTTATTTTTTTGATTTGGGATAAAAAATACTTATATTGGGAGTTTAATTTATGTTGACTGAAAGTTAAGAAATGGAAAAATTACAGAATTCCAACGTTTGACATAGGCAAATATTTACATAGCAGGTAGGTATATAAAAAGGTATATAAAGACTTACATTATAGGTATTTATATATCATCCTCGCCTTCGGAGCTATCGCTAGAGTCATCTTGTAGAGGAACTACAACGGGATTTACAGGAGGCAAAACACAATATTAATTTTCTTTTCAATAATATGCCTAGAACACTGCTTCCATAGGTCTGTGGCAGCAATATGAGATACTGCATCTCTTATTGTGGCCAATAGCGATTCACTTAATTGAGGGGTCTGATTATGTTTTCTTACTTTTTTTTAAAGCAGCCCAGACCAACTCAATCGGGTTAAAAATGCAGTAATAGGGAGGTAGACGTAATACTTCATGGCCATTTTGCTGAAGCAGATTGTCAACAACATACTCTTTTTCAAATTTTTGTCTTTTAATAAGATCCAATAATATGGCTTTGGTTGATTTTTGTGGTATTTCCATTCCCTTATCCTTCATAAAATCAATAATGTCTTGTTTTTTTGTGCCTGTATTCAGAATTTTGTTTCTCTGTCGGGAATGGTATGGCGCGTTGTCCATAATAATCACTGAATTTGGGGAAATGTTTGGTATTAACTGCTGCTCTATCGACTTTTCAAATAAGTCGGAGGTCATGTCCTCATGATAGTCGGCACATGATTCTTTGATATTTTTGGCAGATAACAGCAAGGCATTAGGTATAAATCCATTTTCACTGCCAGCAGGGAGAATAATGATTCGTTTTCCACGGTTGCATGGTGCATTTAAAATGCACTTGTTGCTGTCGTCAACCCAGCCGTACTGCACAACATCATGGGTATCATACCACGTTTCATCCAGGTAAATCAGATTTCTTTTCTGCTCTCTATAGATTTTAACTTTGTGCAAAAATTCTTGGCGCAATTCAACGATTCGAGACGACTCCATAATCATCATTCTTTTATCTAATTTTTGTATTGAAAACCACACAGTTTTACAATACAGTGCAGTGAGTCTAAGCATTTGTAATTATAAAAATCTTCAGGATAATCTTTTAATTTATCCCGTATCATTTCCAACGTGGGCACCAAATTTTCTTTATAAAATCCGTATATTATACGACGAATATCTTCCTGAAAACCCACGTCTATTCTTTTTAATTTTTACCCTATGCGCTTTCTGTGGAAGGAATGGTTGACTACATCTCCCCTTTTTATAACCCGATAAATGGTAGACCGACTGATTTTTGTCAGGATACAAATTCTGTTTAAAATTTGATTTTGCGAGGAATCTGGATTTTCGTTTTTCAGACAATCATACATATTTAGGATTACTCTTTGGGTCTGTTCCTCTAAATCTTTATGAAAGAATTCTGCCTGCACAGGTTCATCAACCATCTCCTCGTGGCTTGGAGCATTTTCCCAAGGTCTCCAAAGAGCCATATTTAGGACACACAAGAACAATTAAATCAACAAGTAAACTGAGTATTCAAAAGTCAAAAACACACAAACTAATAAAATCTATGAAAAAACACGGACAGACTAAAGAAAACACGTTTATTCATCGCTACACGGCACTGGCTAAACTGTTTCAATTTTCAGTAGCCACCTGCACTTGTTCGGAGCTCTGAAATACACGCTTTCTCATTGGCTATGTCCACGCATAGGCGTGCTTTACTCCACGTGGACCGGTGAAACTGCCTTTGATCTTATACGGGGGATATTTGCTGCGAAATTTGGCGATTTTTGCAGCAACAGAGCGTGTTAAATATAGATATATAAAACGCACCCGGTATTTCACAGTGTTTCCAGTGACTTCAGATAAAGTATACTCTTTTATAAAAAATTCCGGACTATAGGGGGTCTTAGGCAGTCCTCTATAATCCGACAAATTCGATAGTCCGACACTGCCCTGCATGATGTTTGTCGGATTACCGGCGGTCCAGTGTAACTGATTAGCCCAAAATTTAGTTATTTAAATTCTTGAAAATTTTATTTATCAAATAAGCTAATTAAAAAATTAATGAAGAACAATAATCTAATTAATTTTATACAGTTGGGGTGCCGGGAACGAAAAGGAACATTCTACGTTTACCTAAATATCATCCTTGAAATCTACGACACTTAAGATTTTACACCACTTTCACAGGAGAATTAAATAATCGTAAAGTACAAGTACTATTTTCCATACCAAAAATAAACTTACCTGTAAAGCTAAGGGTATAGCATTCAATTCATACATAATCCTCAAAATATAAGACGCCTCTTGCATTGTTAGCGAAATAAGTCTCGTGATGCTGCCCGATGTTCCGAACATTTTCGGTATATCACCCGGTTCTAGCTCCGTAAATTGGTTCTCTTTCATCTTTAACACCACCTATTTGAAAATAGACATCGAGTATTGAATAGCAAAAATAATGCTTTGAAGGATTCAAAAATAAATTGTGCAATTTAAAAACATTATTTCGGATAATGGCAAACTGTGATATTCACCTGACACAGTGCTTCCAAATCGTACGATTTTGACTTGATCAGTTCCTTCGCCGTGATCTTAATATCGCATACTAATCTGCCAGCAAACAATCTTCTATCCAGTCTCTTTTTCTCTGTTATCCTCAACTTACCTAAAATACAATGGGATTTTTATCATAAAGCGTTAATTAATTAAGTGCGAGATGTATGCACATATCCCGTTACCATTTTAAAAGTTCTACTGTATTTTAAACAATGATTAAGATATATTTAGGAGTGAAAAAATTAGAACAAAAACGGTAGACGTTATCCAAATTATTGCTTGAAGCGTCTGTTTTCAGTTTTGCACTCCATTTTTTCAAATTCCAATATTTAGGAATATTATATAACAAACGAAAGTACCTCGTTAAAAATCATGTTTTTCACACCTACTGGATGTTCAAACGGACCAACATGAACGAATTTTCAAACATCACTTTTTTTTTCACGTGAAATGTCCCATATGTCTTGGTCCTTACCAACCATATAAAATATATGCTCAAAATTACCAAGTTTTCCGAAATTCTTCACATCCAATCTAGTGAGCCGTTCGGCTAACAGCGCCACCTGACGGCCGTGTAAATCATGGCCGACTATGAGATCGGCGTCGATTTTACTCAGCTGGGCAACCAGGTAGTTCAGCAAGGCTTTTTCGCTGCCCATTTTTTGCACTTTGGTGGCACGATATTTGTTAAGCGCCTCGTGAATATCCAATGGTAAAGGGTGCTGAGACTGGTTCGTAAACACTGAAACGAGAAATTCAACAGGGAATATGCACGATTGTATTTTCTGTCGAATATTTACGTTAATATAATTGCGTAAAAATATATTTCATTCACGGAATTTTTTTCTTTTTTTTTATACCGAAACAGCCGCGCAGGCAGAAGCCTAAATGCCGGGACACCGTGGCTGCTGTAATCTTACTCAATGTAATGTTACTCAAATTGCGTTGTTTTAGATAAGTGTTAGTAATTCTGTTTACTTTAATTTTGCACATTTTAGCCCGATTTTACCTACTTTATTTGTAAAATTTTATTTATACCTGTTTTGTTTTTTTACATTTACTACGTTAAGTTTTATCTCTGTCTAGTTTGTAATCCAAAATTATCAGTACCCATTGTATTTGTATTACTTCTATTATTGTAATAAGGCAAACGTGTACTTATATGTAGCTCTTATGCTAAGTATATGCTTTATTATTAATACTGGAATAATTTTCTTTAAGTTTCTTCGTGAACGTGCAGTTATTATTTAATGCCAAAGAACCTCGTGGAAGTATGTAAAATAAAACTTACCGCAAAAATGTTGTTTGAAGGGAGGATGCGGTATTTTCCCGTCAAGAGCGTACCGATCGTGTGCAAGACAACTGACCATCAGTATCTCGTTGGCGTGCGTTTTGGGGTTGACGGCCGTGCGCATATGGAGCGTCAACACAACTAACGGAGGCGGTGGAGGCGGTTGTTTACCGCCATCGCCAGAGAACACCGTTAGTTCACCAGGCCGGGAGCAGTTTACCTGAATAAAACAGTACAAGTCTTATCTACCCAGCGAAAGAAAGAGAGGAATCGATGAAGGATGAGGATATGTGTGCTAATAATCTGTGATAAGCAAAAAAAATCCCTGGGTGGTGAAGGAATATTTAAGTCATTTAAAATTTATAGAAAATTATTTAACGATGTCAAAATAAAAAAACAAATCAGCGCCTAGATGTGAGGCAGCGCGAAAATGTTTTGTATGTGATGCGTCATTCCTAAAAACGGGAGAAATCATAATATACAGGGTGTCCCAGAAGTCGACGTCAAGCCGAAACCGGGTGATAGGCAAAGTCATAACAGCTATTAGAAAAATATTTAAAAAAAAATTTATGTATGTGTTTTGAAAATTATAGGTCTTTGAAAAAAATATAGAAATTTTACACCATACGGCAGTTTGTCAACTCCTGTTACTACAAATATTAACTTTTTTTGGATTTTATTTTTACAATGTAATGATGAATAATGCATCTTCAAACTGGTTGTTTCAACCTTACTGACAACTTTTCTCGTTCAGGAAAAATTGCCACTTATTCCCAACCAAGTATTCCAAAGTAAAACTTTGCTCAACTTTAACTGGCTGTACTGGAAAAAATGTACTACGAGAGTTTGACAAGTAACCTTAAAAGTTGGCGCATTTAATAAGGATTCCAAAATGGTATAACACTTAGAAGATTACTCGTTAACTTATGCACAATTTTTATTTGAATAAAAACTGATGAAAATTTTTCAAAATTTCCTAATTAAACAGCGATTATGAAAACGCACAAGGACCCTTAAGGATAACTGTTTGCACAACAGTGGGCGTCAAAATGCTGCTGATGATGATTTACCTTTACAGCAAATGCTCAAACTGTTTTCCTTCAGCCGCAATACACGCTCGACATCTTCTTAAAAAGATCGGGTTATTAAACGAGCGAATCCACGGTTATTAACAAACTCAGCTGCTTCCAATAGTCTTTGCTGTAGCTCAGCTACATTTTGAATCGGCTTGAAATACACTTTTTCTTTTACAGTTCCCCCGTAAAAAAAATCTAACGGATTCAAATCTGGTGACCGGGCTGGCCACGGTATTGTACCAGACCGCCCTATCCATCTGCCTGGGAAGTTTTGATCGAGATACCACATACAGCGTGTTCAACCTCTCCTGCCCCGGGATTATGAGCCCCGAGTTGCTTTTTGTTGCACAATGTTAGAAAGACACAGGAAAGATCCACAGTTCTTTGAAAAAAATGTATGGTCGGATGAAACCACATTTAAGAAAGATGGGTACATGAACCTGCATAGCTTACACGAGTGACACGTAGCAAACCCACATTTGATGAGAGAAGATAAATCTCAATATCGCTTCAAGATAAACCATTGGACAGGAATTTTAAATGGTAAAATAATCGGTCCGTTTGAGTTCCCAGAGACTTTGACTGCTGAAGTTTATTTGGATTTTTTGAAAAATCATGTACAAAATTTATTGGTGGACGTGCCACTGAGTATTTACAGGGACATGTGGTTTCAGCATGATGGCTGCCCAACGCACTATGCACTCTCAGTGAGAGAGTATCTCGATCAAAACTTTCCAGGCAGATGGATAAGGCGGTCTGGTACAATACCGTGGCCAGCCCGATCACCTGATTTGAATCCTTTAGATTTTTTTACTGGGGAACTGTAAAAGAAAAAGTGTATTTCAAGCCGACTCAAAATGTAGCTGAGCTACGGCAATAACCGTGGATTCGCTCGTTCAATAATCCGATCTTTTTTAAGAAGATGTCGAGCGTGTATTGCGGCTGAAGGAAAACAGTTTGAGCATTTGCTGTAAAGGTAAATCATCATCAGCAGCATTTTGACGCCCACTGTTGTGCAAACAGTTATCCTTAAGGGTCCTTGTGCGTTTTCATAATCGCTGTTTAATTAGGAAATTTTGAAAAATATTCATCAGTTTTTTTTCAAATAAAAATTGTGCATAAGTTAACGAGTAATCTTCTAAGTGTTATACCATTTTGGAATCGTTATTAAATGCGCCAACTTTTAAGGTTACTTGCCAAACTCTCGTAGTACATTTTTTTCCAGTACAGCCAGTTAAAGTTGAGCAAAGTTTTACTTTGGAATACTTGGTTGGGAAATAAGTGGCAATTTTTCCTGAACGAGAAAAGTTGTCAGTAAGGTTGAGACACCAGTTTGAAGATGCATTATTCATCATTACATTGTAAAAATAAAATCCGAAGAAGTTAATATTTGTAGTAACAGGAGTTGACAGACTGCCGTAGGGTGTGAAATTTCTATATCTTTTTCAAAGACCTATAATTTTCAAAACACATACATAAAATTTTTTTAAATATTTTTCTGATAGCTGTTATGAGTTTGCCTATCACCCGGTTTCGGCTTGACGTCGACTTCTGGAACACCCTGTATAACGTAGAACACAGCCTCGTCTCGCAGCAAGTTGAGTTTTCAAGGAAAGCAAAGATTTTTCAAAAAGGAGAAGTGATAAGAACAAAAGTAATCACTTGTTTCATTCTTCCATAAAAGAGGAATATTCACACACAATTTCAGAGCTGTACTTATATTTGTTAACAAGTTCCGATCGAAGAAACAATTCGCAATAAAATGCACAAAATGCATTTTTTGACAAAACAAATGAAAACATGGTTTTTTAGTCATCTTTATACACACCATGAAATTATCAGATGAAAAGGATTGGGAATACTGCTGCAAACAGGAAGTTTGAAAAAAGGGACGTGCCACCTTAAGAGGTTGGCGCTTTGAACAAAATTCCAGAAATCTATTTTAAAAATTACACGCGCATAGACTATCAATTACTGTTAGTGTGTCACATAAAGATTTGTATGCCATGCTAAAAAAAAAAACACTCACCTCGAGTGCGCACCAAGAAACTGGTGCATTTACTGGTACAGGATCGCTAATATCTAGCCAACAAGGACCTCGAATGCGACGTTCCAGTAGCAACAATTCCAGAAATGGGGAATCCCCTCCAAATATGCGCCAAAACGTGCGCGGAGGACGCCTCAATGAGTTGATATCTATCTTTGGGTCTGTAGGCTGTAACAAAATATCCATTTTAACAAATTTCCACATTTTTATATAAACATATCGGAAAAATTGCTTACAGGGTATCTAACTTCCATATAATCAGAGTCAGCCGGCACTTCGGGATCAAAAGCGTATTTCTTATGAACATATCTCGCTCTGAAACTATTTATCTTCAATGGTTTCATTATGGTATCATTCACTTCTTCATATAGCTTCTTGAATGTGACAGGTTCATCCGTAGATTTACCATCGTCACCCAAAACCTAAACACAAATATTTGAGAATAAAGTAGCATCAGGATCTTTGTTTAAATATAACTTGATGGAAGTAATATTTGAAGATTTCTGCACGTTGATTCATAACTGGAATATGTAAAGCCATTATTAAAATAAAAAGTTTGCAAGGTGCTGCTGAGAAGAGAAGAACAAATAATTGTGTAGATGGTCTAGAATATAAATAATCAATGAGGGATTTCCGGGTAGTATTCCTAGCAGTGGCGAAGCGTCCATGTAACCATTCTCGCTCAGTCCAGGAATGTTTACCTTAATTTAAAATAGTTTAAATAAAATACCTAAAACAAGCAAAAACTTATATTAGGGAGGCTCAAAATAAACTTTTTTTAATAAGAATTTCCACATCTGGTTTTGGTAACAAAAGTCACGCGTCGCCACTGATTCCTAGAAGTTTCACTACTGCAGATTAATAAAAAATTAAAAATGTCAACGATTTTTTATTAAACAAAAATTCAGGAATGTCTGGGGAAAAATCTCAAGTTCATCCAAACGTCCGGGGTTTTTGAAGCTTTTGTCCGGCGTGGTAATTTAGGTGATGACAGCCTTACCTATGTATAAAAACCAGTCAAACTTACATGCGTTCTAGGTAGGAAAAATATCTGTCTGTTTATATTTCTCACGGCTACACAGCAGCTAACATAGTTTTTAACTTTCTCACAATAAGTTTTCCCAAAAAGAAATATCACTCCCTTGTGCCTTTCTGCATCTTCAAAAGCATCCCACCAGAAAAAACGCAAAACCTGAAACAATATAGATCATGAAGACATGGGCGCCAGGGCGGCCAAGGCCTCCACCTGAATATCTGGTTGGACTTTGTTCTGGGTATCGGCAAAGTTACGGTTTTCCTTTTCAGACACAAAGCTAATGTGCGGTGAAACGTGAGCGAACAAGTGAAAAAAATAAATGAAAAAGTACTCGCTGTTCAGTTGAATTCCGAGGAGCACATATAACAAAAATAACAAAAAAAGAGATTGAAAATATGAAGTCGGTGTCACTTTTTCTTGGTGCACGTATTTTATAAGTACTGTTCGAACTTGATTCAAAAACACATGTGCGTGATCGACGTAGCCAAGTATCGGTGCAGGCTTTTAGAGTGGAGTCCCTTCCCCGAATGAATGCAGCAGCTTGCCCAATTATCAGACGCAATTCGTCAACCGTGTGCACCGCAGTTTTGTACACCAAGCATTTAATTTCGCCCCAAAGAAAAAAATCACAAGCTGTTAAGTCTGGGGATCGCGGAAGCCGATCCACCTATTCGGAAATGATTCGTTTAAGAAGTCACGCACTTCGCGTCTAAAATGGGACGGTGCACCATCATGGAGAAACCACATTGATTGCCTAACACTCAAAGGCACATCTTCTAGCAGTGTTGGTTCTGCAAAAAGTCTAGGTATTGTATCCTGTCCAACCGATTCGGGAGAATAAATGGTCCAATAAGCATCCCGTTTACCCAAACATTCACAGAAAATGTTTGTTGAACGTGTGACCGACGGACAGCGTAAGGATTTTCTACTGACCATACACGAGTATTGCGGAAGTTATTATAGAACGGGGATTCGTCTTGAGTAATATACACTTTAAACAGCCCGGATTATTGTCATGTTGGTGCAACAACCACCCACAAAACCACACTCTTGCGGGAAAATCATCAGCTTGGAGGGCTGTTACACGTTGCACGTGAAACAGGTACAATCCCTCATCATGCAGCATTTGCAATCGTTTAGCCACGTTCCTAGTGCCTGATGAAGGATTCTCGTCTACGAGATTCAGTACTTCTTCCTCAGTTTGCACTATTCGGGATTGTCTAGGTCTCCCACTGTGCACAAGGTAAACAAATCTTCGGGGCATTGGATGACGACGTCTGAGAAAACGATCTGCATACACTCGCGAAGCCTCGGTCGCACTTTGAAGACACTCACCGTAAATTAACAGCATGTCGGCTAGTTCGCTATTGTGTACGAGTGTGCCATTTTTTTAAATTTTTTGTACAGCAATCGGTTACCAATGTAATGGTTTGTTGACCTACACTACCGGCGTCTAGGTCAGGTTCCATACTAGCGTATTTACATCGTAGTCGTACGTCGTATTAGTGTACTCTGGCGCTGTGAACGTGATCGAGGGATAGGACCGGCTTTGGTTTGGTTCAGGTTTCATTGAGCTTGCGGAGCTCGATATCTCTGTTCTCTTAAGAAATCGGTGTATATGCTACTTAGAAAATCCTCAAGATCTATACGTAGTGTAAAGGAAAACCCCTGTATATTTAGCATGCTTTTGATGCACACTTTTGAAGATTTGGTAGGGATTAAATCAAATAAGGTGATTGAATTGTAAAAACAAATAAAGTCTAATGGAAAGGAGGCTCATGACACATGTGTTTCCAAGGAAATGAAGAGCAGAATATTTTAACTCTTAAAAATTGCTAACTAATTTTGGAACAAACAAATATCGTTGGTCTAGGTAATTATGCAATCAGCAACAAAATTTGGTTCTTACTAAAAAAATGACCCTTGTAAATACTGATAAAATTACCTTTTTACCATCAGCATTCACCACTAAGGGAATATCAGTCTTATCTAAAACACTGCTATTTATCTCGACTGTCTCTTCATTTTCCCATGCAGTGCTGAATTCTGTCTGCCATTCACCTAATACTGGGTCTTCAGTCTCTTCAGCTTTATTATTCATCTCCTGTGATTCAAAGTCTTCTATCACTGACATATCTAAATCATCGTCGAAACATTCTTGCGTAAAATCATCTTCTATTTTCATTTCTTCTGAATCTTTAGCAGACACTTGACTATCTTCAATGATGCTTGGTGTTTCTTCTTTTATCACCTCTGATTGAGAAGAAGCATGTCCGTTCAACAGCCTTTTCTCCTGAGTAGATTCACCACTATTGTTTTCTTTTTTAACTGCAACGGGTTTTGGGGAAACAATTTCTGTTTTGATTTTTGATACTTCTACAGTATTTTCTGGAATATTTTCTTTCTTCACATCCTTTTTAGGTGTACGAATTGTAAGACTAGGTGGTTTCTTAGCAGGAACTGAGAAGCTTTTCATGTAATCCATGGCTGCTTGTTTTCTTGATTTAATCGAACACTCATCTTCAGTTATTTTATTCTGTTTTGGTTTAAGTGGTCCATCATGATCATCTATTTCTTCTAATATCTCGGTTAACATTGCATCTTCATCTATTTTAATTTCCTGAAATCGTAACATTTACAGCAGCTGTTTAATTAGTTATAAGTTTCAGGCAATTTGGTAGTTAATCTTCAACAATGGAGAATGATTATTGAAAAAAATCCACAACTAAGGGAATTCAAAACTAAAAGCCAAAAATATATAAAATCCGATATCATCTCATCATTCATATACAGAAGTCAAGAGTTTGCCAATTTAATACATTTTCTGCAACATACTAGTCAAGTTTTGGATACTCTTGGTTGGTGCTTGTTGCCCTAAAGGTTCTGTTGTGTGAATATCTATAGTTAAAAAATATTGCTGTTAAAAAATGATATTTTTTTGCAAATAATGTACAAAACAATTTGTCAAGGAAAATTACAGTTTCTTTTAGAAAATATCTCATAAATGTAGAGCCTGACATTAGCTTTTTTTTTTTGTTAAAGCAATCCTTAAAAAGTATTCATAAGATGATTATATAGTTAAGTTTAACACTGCTGCTAGCTTCTATGATGCGGCAATGTTTTTTTTCTAAAATTTTTTAGGCTTTATAATTGTTTAAGTAGTAAACTGAAGCCTGTATATAGCATATGTGTCTTTATATTTTTTTCTGTTGGAAAGGTTATAAGACAATTTTATTAAAACTCAGTAAAAAAACATTTTATTACAAAGCAAAAAAAATGGTTAGATGTCACACAAGTGTGACATCAGCAGTGAAAGTGTCAAAAGTGATTCAAATTAAATGATAATTCCATATCATAATTCTATTTTGAATGCCAGAACATTCAGAATGTTCCAAAGAGATTTTAGATTTTTTTTTACCTCCTTCTTTTTAACTGGCATATTTGAGAGCATTTGTGCTAGGTTGCCTTTTCCAGCATTTTCAGATACAGCTTTCTTTTTCCTCTTCTTCCCTTTATCTCTTCCGGAAGCTTGAGCTTGCGCAATTGATTCTGAATCCAAATCATCATCAAAAATATCCCTACCATCCTCGATATACCCACTTCCATCTGAAAAATTATTTCAACTTAAAAATATGTGAAAACTGTCATAAGAATACTGTTTTAGAATTTCTCCATTGAGATTTTACTAATTCTGAAGTTATACTAAGGCACGTTTACCATCATCCACTATCCAATCTTCATCCTGCCTTGAAAGCACTTTTTTGACATAATCCTTTTCATCTACCAATTCGTATACACTTTCCAATTCTTCCACTTCGTATTTGTTCCTATTTCCGCTTTTCAACTGCTTGAATTTTTCAAAGGCTTTTGCTTTGTAAGAAGTGTCTCTCTTCATGCGTTTGGGCCTACTCTCTTCCGCTAAAATAACATAATGCATGCATTATCTGGAGAATGTAAAAATATAAAAGAAGTACTCACATGAGTCGGCCATGATTGTTATAATATTTTATTAGACTTTTCCAACTTTAATGGGTAAAAAGTAAAAACTATGGTACACTGTGTACAAATAATGTTAAAAATAGCAAAGCGCGCCAAAATTCCATAAAGATATGACATTGATGACATTTAAATGTGTCAGGTAAAAATCAAAATTGCTATTATGCACTTGATTCTTGAATTCTCGTTACGTAACGAAAAAAGTTATAATCTAATTATATATGTTCTTGATAGCTTCCTCTCAATCAAGGTTGCTGTTGGGCGATTTGTACCTTGGAGAATTTTTTGTTCAGGGGGAAACTACACATTTTGCGGACAGAAAGCATGATTCTAACCTTTCCATTAAACATGTGTGATTTAGGGGATTTTCTTAAAAATAGCACTTTTGAGGGATTTTTGTGCTTGTTCTGGAGAAATTCTATCCGACCCATCTGGCAGCCGCTGGAATCAGTTTGTTTTGCCAGGCAACCCTGCTGTAATCTGTTATATAATTATTTACCTTTCATGGAAATTAAGTTTTAATAAAAAAACAGATACCTGCCCATTAAGCCAAATGGATCTCGCACTATATAACTTCAGCCGTTTATAGAACATTTTAGATTCTACTGTATACAGGGTTACAAAGTTGTGCAGAATATTGAACTCAAAATAGCGGAATTGAGCCTAATTATAAACAAAATCACGAAAGATGACTATTACGTCATACCCTAAATTGTACTGAAGTAATCAATGGACGTACGTCGATGAGAAAATCACGATGTCAGGAACATAATTACAACAAATTTATATTACGATTTGCGAAGTTAGGTTATTTCACTGATTATTTTTATTTTCATTTTATTTCATGGTTTTGAGTGATACCTTAATAATAATTTTCGTGGGGAGTTTTTGTTTAAAAAAAAAAACAGTAGAGTAGAATACCTCAAGACAGGAACACTAAAGACCAAAGTATTATTCGAAAACAACCTAACCTGCTTTAACATGACCTAACTATTCATCTTTCAAATATGATCGATCATGCAACATGGAAACAGCGTCTATCTTTGTCGGATACATGCAAATTACCAATACAGTTTGTTCAGACAATAAAATTATGTTTATCTCTGTCTAACATATCTGAAACTCCATTAAAAATATACACAAATCGCTGTAATTTGGTTTTACTACAGACTAAAATGATGACGTAATAGTCATCTTTCGTGATTTCCACTATATAGTCCTAATCCATGTCTTTCGTGAAAGAAGCCATTGACTGCACCACATGTATATTATGAAATCTTTAATTCGTTTCGTATCGAAAAACAAAAATCCGAAGTCACAATGTAGCGGCATCTATGTAGTTTTTTATAACTCGAAGAGTCGTTTAATAGAGGAATCTAGCTATAAAGTATGTAGTTAAATTTATTTCCAGTAGATGCCACTAATGTTCTTGACTCAAGTGACATCTGTGGGTGGTTTTGGTTTATCAGTATGAATACTATGAATGGAAGCCAACGAGCGTTCTGTGCTTGCACAACAGATGTCAGCACGTTTTTTCGTTTTTTGTTTTGAAGTCGATGGGCCACGCCATGGTTTGTGTCATTTGAGTTTTGAATGCTTATCTTATTAAATTTGTTATTTTGGAAGGTATTTTTGTTTTGTAACAAATTGACTGGCCTTTGCCTTTGAGGTCTACACATAATAAACTAAGGTTATTGAGTAAATATTCTCTGAGAGAATCATTGTACTCGTTGGTGCTTCGCTTTCTTTTAATGCATTTGGGAGCCCATTTCCAAATTGAGCAAGCACTAGCGACCAACATTGAAAATGAACCCAGACACTAATTTGGAACCAGACGCTAAGCCTTGCATAAAATCGGAAGAAGCTGATCATGATTATGCATCGGCTTATAATAGGTATGATATTTCTCAAAATTTCAACAAAATATGTTTCAATCAAGTTTCAATAGTTTTTGAAAACGTCCCTTAGAACTAAAAATTCGGGCGAGTATCATGGTCTAAAATTAATATTGTTTCAGTATCAAAGGTGAACATTGTGATGGAGACCAGGTGAAAATGGAGAATCAGTTGATGGTTCAGGTTAAATCAGAACCTAGTGAGAACAACATGGAGTTCGAAAATGTAATACTTAATGAAGGTTTTACCATCAAATCCGAATATGCTGAAGATATCCTAACAGAGTCAACATACGATAGGTGGGTCTGACTTTGCTTTGCTCTATTTTATTTGATTCTAAAGATACCAGAAAAACAAATATGTTTTGCAGTGCATATGACGCTTCATTTTGAAGCTCATTATGAGCACTTTACAATCCTAGAGTATAAATTTTATTTTCTTTCAGTCAAGTTTTTTTTGTTACATTGAATTACTCATTACTCAATAACTAATTACTGTAATAAAATATGTATCCTTTATTTTCCACATGACTGGCTTTAATTGCTAAAATTTCAACAATGAGGTATGTTTTTCTCGGTATTATATTTATTTCCAGTCTGTCTGTTCTATGATATATGAGGTGTGGAGAGTTAATCTACCTGACGCCATTTTTTTAGCATCTATTTGAATAAAATAATTCGCATGAAAAAATTTAGACAGTTCTTTTAATAATAATATTAATATAACCTACTATGATGTTTTGCTGATAGATTGTCAAGTAGTAAGCAGTTCTCTGTACAAAAACGCTCAGCTGTGGCAGCATGTCAGTCTACCATTTTGAGGTACGATAATCTTCAATTCTACTGAAAATTTGGCAGTTTACCATCATTTTGGAATTTTCACCTGCCACTTTTTGCTAAAATATTGGTCATCCTGTATATTGAAATGCCACCTTCATTATTGTTATAGAATCAAAGTTGAACAGAAATTTGATCCCGGGATTGAAGATGACTTGACAGCAGACACCAGTCACCAGATGAAAGTGGAATTACAGGAGTCTGAGAAGCCGGAAGGGAGCGCCAATTTTGAAAATTCCGACGCGTTAGGGCTAACTGAGGAATTAGACATCAAAACTGAGGGTGACCAGAGCTCCGTGCATGATCCGGCGTCCGATAGGTGAGTCTTCTTCATTCCTCCAGCTCTGTAGGGTGTTCCACAGCGTTGCCAGGTGTCCCGATTCACGCGGGAAGCACCGTTGTTCGTGGGTCCGGGGACGCATCGCTATTTGTGCCTGATTGGGTCACTTAAGCTCTGAGCTTGAATGACTTACTCCATGTTTTTGATTTGGGCTGCAAATCGCAACCAGGACTTTGCAAACCTCCAAAAGTTATTTTATTTATGACTTCAATACCAGCACGGGCCAATCTGGAAAAACGCTCAAAAAAGTGCTGGGAATTTTTTTTAATCTCAAAAATTTTGGGGCACGTCCAAGCCCTCAAGATATCTCCTTGGATCCGCCACTGAATACCGATACCAAAAGCGGTAACGGAAAGGATAACACTTAATTTGGTCTGATAGGACAAACTGACTGATTCTCGGGCATATCAAAGCAGACATTTAAAATATAAACCAGCCATGTTATAAAAAAACAAGGCAACCCCAAAATCTAACAAAAAGTATAATTTAAAAAAAGTACATTATTTAACCTTATAAACCGTGTTAATAACTAATATACAAATGTTATTGATTCCGGATCACAATAAGCTAAATACAAATTTTAAAAAACCTTGTTTTTTGTTTGTCGCGAATTCCTGATTTGTTGACCTTGTGCCCCGATTTGAAACAAATCGGACCTGGCAAAACTAGTTCCAGAATATTAATCTCTCACATACGTATACTTTATCTGAAGTCACTTGAAACACTGTGAAATACCGGGTGTGTTTTATATATCTATATTTAACACGCTCTGTTGCTGCAAAAATCGCCAAATTTCGCAGCAAATATCCCCCGTATAAGAGATCAAAGGCAGTTTCACCGGTCCACGTGGAATAAAGCACGCCTATGCGTGGACATAGCCAATGAGAAAGCGTGTATTTCAGAGCTCGGAACAAGTGCAGGTGGCTACTGAAAATTGAAACAGTTTAGTCAGTGCCGTGTAGCGGTGAATAAACGTGTTTTCTTTAGTCTGTCCGTGTTTTTCATAGATTTTATTAGTTTGTGTGTTTTTGACTTTTGAATACTCAGTTTACTTGTTGATTTAATTGTTGTGTTGATTGTTCTTGTGTGTCCTAAATATGGCTCTTTGGAGACCTTGGGAAAATGCTCCAAGCCACGAGGAGATGGTTGATGAACCTGTGCAGGCAGAATTCTTTCATAAAGATTTAGAGGAACAGACCCAAAGGGTAATCCTAAATATGTATGATTGTCTGAAAAACGAAAATCCAGATTCCTCGCAAAATCAAATTTTAAACAGAATTTGTATCCTGACAAAAATCAGTCGGTCTACCATTTATCGGGTTATAAAAAGGGGAGATGTAGTCAACCATTCCTTCCACAGAAAGCGCATAGGGCAAAAATTAAAAAGAATAGACGTGGGTTTTCAGGAAGATATTCGTCGTATAATATACGGATTTTATAAAGAAAATTTGGTGCCCACGTTGGAAATGATACGGGATAAATTAAAAGATTATCCTGAAGATTTTTATAATTACAAATGCTTAGACTCACTGCACTGTATTGTAAAACTGTGTGGTTTTCAATACAAAAAATTAGATAAAAGAATGGTGATTACGGAGTCGTCTCGAATCGTTGAATTGCGCCAAGAATTTTTGCACAAAGTTAAAATCTATAGAGAGCAGAAAAGAAATCTGATTTACCTGGATGAAACGTGGTATGATACCCATGATGTTGTGCAGTACGGCTGGGTTGACGACAGCAACAAGTGCATTTTAAATGCACCATGCAACCGTGGAAAACGAATCATTATTCTCCATGCTGGCAGTGAAAATGGATTTATACCTAATGCCTTGCTGTTATCTGCCAAAAATATCAAAGAATCATGTGCCGACTATCATGAGGACATGACCTCCGACTTATTTGAAAAGTGGATAGAGCAGCAGTTAATACCAAACATTTCCCCAAATTCAGCGATTATTATGGACAATGCGCCATACCATTCCCGACAGAAAAACAAAATTCCGAATACAGACACAAAAAAACAAGACATTATTGATTTTATGAAGGATAAGGGAATGGAAATACCACAAAAATCAACCAAAGCCATATTATTGGATCTTATTAAAAGACAAAAATTTGAAAAAGAGTATGTTGTTGACAATCTGCTTCAGCAAAATGGCCATGAAGTATTACGTCTACCTCCCTATTACTGCATTTTTAACCCGATTGAGTTGGTCTGGGCTGCTTTAAAAAAAAAGTAAGAAAACATAATCAGACCCCTCAATTAAGTGAATCGCTATTGGCCACAATAAGAGATGCAGTATCTCATATTGCTGCCACAGACCTATGGAAGCAGTGTTCTAGGCATATTATTGAAAAAGAAAATGAATATTGTGTTTTGCCTCCTGTAAATCCCGTTGTAATTCCTCTACAAGATGACTCTAGCGACAGCTCCGAAGGCGAGGATGATATATAAATACCTATAATGTAAGTCTTTATATACCTTTTTATATACCTACCTGCTATGTAAATATTTGCCTATGTCAAACGTTGGAATTTTGTAATTTTTCGATTTCTTAACTTTCAGTCAACATAAATTAAACTCCCAATATAAGTATTTTTTATCCCAAATCAAAAAATAAGAAGATAGTAAAATCCATTTATTGTGATATAAAAACATTATTATTATCGTTCTAAATAAATGCCGCACGCCTATGATACGTCATGAAATTACAAAGGACGCGCCGACCAAAGGTTTTTATGCTATTTCAAGTGACTTCAGATACACCATACATGTAGAACACAAATGTCCCGTTTCCTTATAAAAAATCTCTCACGGAGCTCCTCAATGAAGATGCAAGACCTTGAAGGACGTTACTGGAAAAAAAAATATAAATAACTTTAGACCCACACTGTACCATTACATACAATCGTGTACCATTTTTATTGTATCAGCATTCATTGCGAATGGTGTTGTCGCAGGAAATTATGACGCCTTATCAGTGAAAACGGGGTGGCAATGATTCATCTCTTTTTTTCAGTGATCAAAGAAAGAAAGAGAGGAAAAGTGAACAAAAACATTCACAAGTCGAAGAAGGAAAACAGCCGTTTGGTTGCTGTATTTGTAGCTACACCAGCCGTTCTAAAGGGGGTTTAATAATTCATATCAGAAAGAACAATTGCTATTTAGGATCGAACTTGGAAGAATCACGGTCTGCTTCCAGAAAACAGTACCGATTTAATAAATATTGTATCAAATGCGATGAAGTGTTCAAAAGCAAGACTTTACTAGACAATCATGTGCTTAGAAAGCATCCCGAATCTATTGCATTGGTTTCAACTAAAACACATGAATGTAATAGCTGCGGTTTCAAAACCGTTTTCAAAAACGCTTTAACCAAACATATGTTAAAACACATGAATCGTAAAGATTCTGACTTGAACGTATGCAAACATTGCAGCAAGTCTTTCAAACATAAGGATTCACTATTTGACCATATTCTAAAGAAACATCCAAACTTTAGCAAAACAGTTTCAGGAAAGATATATGAGTGTATGCATTGCGGGACCAAACAAACCAGTAGGACTAATTTTATAAGGCACATGGCAACACATAATACTGAAAGGCCTTTTGAGTGCAAGCACTGTGATGCGCCATTTAAAACAAAGCTATGTTTAGACCACCACATTTTACAGAAGCACCCTGAGTTGACTGCTTCAGTGTCTAGTAATCAACTCAAATGTAAACATTGTAAATACAAAACAAGATACTGGCGTTATTTAGCTAGGCACATGTTGGAACATACTGGAGCTAAGCTCTCGTGCGCAAAGTGTGATGTGTCGTTTGTCAAGAAAACGTCATTAGACAACCACATTTTACAGAGGCATCCTGAGCTCACTGATTCTTTGTCTTATAAGGTACATAAATGTACACATTGTGACTATAAAACGACTTATTCGCAACAGCTGGCTAATCATATGGCGAAGCATATAATAAAAACTGCCGATCATACGTGTACAAAGTGTGATGCTACGTTCGTATTGAAAATTTCATTATACAACCACATTTTACGGAAGCATCCCGAACTGACCTCATCCATAACTTATAAGATACATAAGTGTACATATTGTGAATATAAAACTATGTATGTGCAGTCTTTAGACATGCATATGATGAAACATACTGGAGCTAAGTTCACGTGTACAAAGTGCGATGCGTCATTCACAACACAACTATCGCTGGATAACCACATCATAAAGAAACATCCTCTGTTTACTGACTCTGTGTCTAGTAAGATACATGAATGTAGACATTGTGAATATAAAACTGTAGAACCGCGGTATTTAGCTTCGCATATGGTGAAACATGCTGGTGCCTTGCTCACGTGTACGAAGTGTGATGCGTCATTTACGTTAAAAGCGTCATTAGACGAGCACACTTCACAGGAACATCCCTTCTGTACTGAATGTTGAAGCATAATCTATTTACTAGTAATATATTTAACTTGTAAATTTAACACTATTGAAGCGAGATATTTATTCAGCTAGTCGTATTCTGAAATATATTGCAACTAAAAAAAGACAGCCACATGTTATAAAACCATCCTGCATCAGTGTCCAGTAAGAATATATGAATGGATAGGTCGAAATATATCGGAAAATACGTTTCCTACAGAAACAGGTTACAGAACAAAGTTATAAGGTTTGAGAAGATGTTGATCTTGAATGTGACCTCGACAACGATTTTCAAGGTTAGTTGAAGGCCAAAAGAAGCCCCCATTGTTTACACCGGAAAAACCTTACGGAAATCAGTCCCTGAATTTTGCCCAAACTCTGGGAATCACCAGTAGCATATCCCATCCAAAACAGTTCACTTGACCATGCCGTGACCTTGAACGTCATGGCCAAGATTTATTGTTGGGGAAGGTCATGTAATTTCCGTAATCAAAAATGTAGTGTCTCATCGAAAAAAAAGTGAATTGACCTTGAAGGTTATGGTCGTGGTCAAATCTGCAAATTTTCGACTGCCTATGTTTGCAGATTGACGTACTTTGGTCTTTTTTTTTAGATAAAATACCCGAGAGCCCAATATGAAGTATATAGCCTATTATCTGTTGATCTTTATGGGCATTTGCGAAAAATAACAAATTATCTCGAAAAGTCCGTTTCACAAATATGTTATGTAAAGTTTTGCGGTTTGAAAACATTCATCTAATGGTGACCTTGAACATGACTGACTATGACCTTTAAGCTTATTTGAACCTTGACCATGGCCTTCAAGGTCATTCAAAAATCAGATGACTTTTCAATGTGAAATATCCACAACCAAACAAAACTTTATGGTCAAGTATAAGTATGCCCATGAACTTGACTATGGCTATAAATGTCATTCAAATATCAAATGAATTTTCTATGGAAACCATCCACAACTAAAACTTTATGGTCAAGTATGCCCATGACCTTGTCAATTGCTATCATGGTCATTCAAAGATCGAATGACGTTTTAACGGGAAACATTCACAACCAAACCAAACTTTATGGTCAAGTATGCCCATGACCTGGTCAATGGCTATCAAGGTCATTCATATATCAAATGAATTTTCCACAGGAACCATCCACAACTAAACCAAACTTTATGGTCAAGTATGCCCATGACCTTGACTATGGCTATCAAGGTCATTCAAAGATCAAATGAATTTTTCACGGAAAACATAGACAAGCAAACCAAACTTTATGGTCAAGTATGCCCATGACCTTGTCAATGGCTATCAAGGTCATTCAAAGATCAAACGAATTTTCCACAGGAAACATAGACAAGCAAACCAAACTTTATGGTCAAGTATGCCCATGACCTTGTCAATAGCTATCAAAGTCATTCAACGATCAAATGAATTTTCTGCGGGAAACATAGACATGCAAACCAAACTTGATGGTCAAGTATGCCCATGACCGTGTCAATGGCTATCAAGGTCATTTAAAGATCAAATGAATTTTTCACGGAAAACATAGACAAGCAAACCAAACTTTATGGTCAAGTATGCCCATGACCTTGACTATGGCTATCAAGGTAGTTCAAAGATCAAATGAATTGTTAGCGGGAAACATCCACGACCAAACCAAACTTTATGGTCAAGTATGCCCATGACCTTGACTGTGGTTATAAATGTCATTCAAATATCAAAATAATTTTCCACGGAAACCATCCACAACTAAAAACTTTATGGTCAAGTATGCCCATGACCTTGTCAGTGACTATCAAGGTCATTCAAAGATCAAATGAATTTTCCACTGGAAACATAGACAAGCAAACCAAACTTTATGGTCAAGTATGCCCATGACCTTGACTGTGGCTATCAAGGTAATTCAAAGATCAAATGAATTCTTAACGGGAAAGAACTATTTTAATTACTGAAGTGAAAATTGCGGGCAATTTTAAGTTCAAGTATATCCTTGCCAGTGAACCTGACAATGACCTTGAAGATCATTTTAGAGTCAGATAAATTTTCAAGTAAGTGAAAGTGAAACATTGAAATTAACTTATTGTTACATCAAAATGTTGGATAAAAAATGTTCTTTTCCAAAATAACTATTGCATCACTTAGAATATTGCGTTTCGTTCTCATTCACACTAATGCAAAATGCAAAACGGATACCCCATACTTTACATACACGACGCGGGTTTCTTCTAGTAAAACAATAAAGCACAAAAAGATAAAACTGTCATAAAAAAATGCGTTGCTTTCACCTAACATGTATACCAGAAAGGGCAAATAGAATAAAGCAGAAACAATTTCTTTTTTCAGTGCACAAATAAAGAAAGAGCGGGAAAAGGAACAGGAAAATGCACCGATTGAAGAAGGAAAAAAGTCGTTTAGCTGCTATACTTGTAATCATACCAGCCGCTCTATTAACGGTTTAATCATTCATTTGAAAAGGAACAATTGCAGTTTAGGATCTATTTCGGAAAATCGTCGGTCTGTTTCCCAGAAACAGTACCGATTAAATGAATATTGTTGCATCAGATGTAATACGGTGTTCAAAAGCAAATTGTTACTAGATAATCATGTGTTTAGAAAGCATGCCGAATCTGTTGCTTCAGTTTCATCTAAAATACACGAATGTAAGGTATGTGGCTTCAAAACCGTTTTTAAAAGTGTTTTAATCAGGCATATGTCGAGGCACGCTAATACCAAATTTTCTGAACTGCGCGTATGCAAATATTGCAATACGTCATTTAAGCATATCAAATCGCTGTCTGAGCATATTCTACAGAGGCATCCAGCCTTTAGTGAAACAGGTAGTCAAAAAATGCATGAATGTATGCATTGTCCGTACAAAACATTTGGTAAGTCTAATTTGATAAGGCACTTGAAAAAACACAATCAAAAGCCGGAGTGTACAAACTGTAATGCCTCATTTAAAAGTCAGCTATTTTTAGATCATCACATTTTACAGAAGCATCCCGAACTCACTGCATCTGTGTCTAGTAAGATTCATGAATGTACACGCTGCGAGTATAAAACGACATTCTCGAAACAGCTGGATAATCATATGACAAAACATATCGCGAGTGAAAACCTTCTGCCGGCCAGGCATGTATGTTCGAGCTGTGATGCATCGTTCATGAAGAAACGGTCTTTAGACTGCCACGTCTTGCAAAAACATCCCGATTGTACCGCAACTGTGTCCAATAAGATACATGGGTGTACGTATTGTGATTATAAAACTATTCACACGAAAAATCTGGCCAGGCACGTCATAAAGCATACTGGAGCTAAGCTGACGTGTACCATGTGTAATGCATCATTTTTCGAGAAAATGTCATTAGACAACCACATTTTACACAAGCATCCGGAGCTTACCGCGTCTGTGTCTAGCAAGATACATGAATGTACGCATTGTGAATATAAAACTACGTATACGTCTTGTTTAGCTAGCCATACCTTGAAACATACTAAAAATAAGCTAACATGTACCATATGCGATGCGTCATTCACGGGAATACGATTGTTAGACAACCACATTTTGCAGAAACATCCTCAGTTTACCGCTTCTGTGTCCAGTAAGATACTGAAATGTACACATTGCGAATACAGAACTATAGGACAGCGGTATTTAACTTTTCATATGGCCAAACATTCAGGCGAGCTCACATGTACGAAGTGTGATGTAGCATTTGATAAAAGAATTTCACTAGACAATCACATTTTAATGAAGCATCCTGAGCTTATAGGATCTGTGTGTAGTAAGATACATGAATGTACGCGTTGTCAATACAAAACAGTTCAAAAAACAAGACTTACTATTCATATGAAGACACATGTATAGTCCTAGTCACAGATATAACGAAATAAGTTTTAGTTTCATTGTACAGGGTGCGTCATCTATTACTTTTTTTTTCTCTCTGAAAAATCAACACGCTTTTTTGAAAACATTCATCTAATGGTGACCTTGAACATGACTGACTATGACCTTTAAGCTTATTTGAACCTTGACCATGGCGTTCAAGGTCATTCAAAAATCAGATGAATTTTCAATGTGAAGCATCCACAACCAAACAAAACTTCATGGTCAAGTATGCACATGACCTTGACTATGGCTATAAACGTCATTCAAATATCAAATGAATTTTCCACGGGAACTATCTAAAACTAAACCAAACTTTATGGTCAAGTATGCCCATAAACTTGACTATGGCTATCAAGGTCATTCAAAAATCAAATGAATTTTTAACGGGAAACAACCAAACCAAACTTTATGGTCAAGTAACCCCATGACCTTGACTATGGCTATAAATGTCTTTCAAATATCAAATGAAGTTTCCACGGAAACCATCCACAACTAAAAACTTTAAGGTCAAGTATGCCCATGACCTTGACTATGGCTATAAATGTCATTAAAATATCAAATGAAGTTTTAACGGGAAACATCCACAACCAAACCAAACTTTATGGTCAAGTATGTCCATGACCTTGACTATGGCTATAAATGTCAGTCAAATATCAAATGAATTTTCTACGGAAACCATCCACAACTAAAAACTTTATGGTCAAGTATGCCCATGACCTTGTCAATGGCTATCATGGCCATTCAAAGATCAAATGACGTTTTAACGGGAAACATCCACAACCAAACCAAATTTTATGGTCAAGTATGCCCATGACCTGGTCAATGGCTATCAAGGTCATTCATATATCAAATGAATTTTCCACAGGAACCATCCACAACTAAACCAAACTTTATGGTCAAGTATGCCCATGACCTTGACTATGGCTATCAAGGTCATTTAAAGATCAAACGAATTTTCCACGGGAAACATAGACAAGCAAACCAAACTTTATGGTCAAGTATGCCCATGACCTTGTCAATGGCTATCATACTAAAAATAAGCTAACATGTACCATATGCGATGCGTCATTCACGGGAATACGATTGTTAGACAACCACATTTTGCAGAAACATCCTCAGTTTACCGCTTCTGTGTCCAGTAAGATACTTAAATGTACACATTGCGAATACAGAACTATAGGACAGCGGTATTTAACTTTTCATATGGCCAAACATTCAGGCGAGCTCACATGCACGAAGTGTGATGTAGCATTTGATAAAAGAATTTCACTAGACAATCACATTTTAATGAAGCATCCTGAGCTTATAGGATCTGTGTGTAGTAAGATACATGAATGTACGCGTTGTCAATACAAAACAGTTCAAAAAACAAGACTTACTATTCATATGAAGACACATGTATAGTCCTAGTCACAGATATAACGAAATAAGTTTTAGTTTCATTGTACAGGGTGCGTCATCTATTACTTTTTTTTTTCTCTCTGAACAATCAACACGCTTTTTTGAAAACATTCATCTAATGGTGACCTTGAACATGACTGACTATGACCTTTAAGCTTATTTGAACCTTGACCATGGCGTTCAAGGTCATTCAAAAATCAGATGAATTTTCAATGTGAAACATCCACAACCAAACAAAACTTTATGGTCAAGTATGCACATGACCTTGACTATGGCTATAAACGTCATTCAAATATCAAATGAATTTTCCACGGGAACTATCTAAAACTAAACCAAACTTTATGGTCAAGTATGCCCATGACCTTGACTATGGCTATAAATGTCTTTCAAATATCAAATGAAGTTTCCACGGAAACCATCCACAACTAAAAACTTTAAGGTCAAATATGCCCATGACCTTGACTATGGCTATAAATGTCATTAAAATATCAAATGAAGTTTTAACGGGAAACATCCACAACCAAACCAAACTTTATGGTCAAGTATGTCCATGACCTTGACTATGGCTATAAATGTCAGTCAAATATCAAATGAATTTTCTACGGAAACCATCCACAACTAAAAACTTTATGGTCAAGTATGCCCATGACCTTGTCAATGGCTATCATGGTCATTCAAAGATCAAATGACGTTTTAACGGGAAACATCCACAACCAAACCAAATTTTATGGTCAAGTATGCCCATGACCTGGTCAATGGCTATCAAGGTCATTCATATATCAAATGAATTTTCCACAGGAACCATCCACAACTAAACCAAACTTTATGGTCAAGTATGCCCATGACCTTGACTATGGCTATCAAGGTCATTCAAAGATCAAACGAATTTTCCACGGGAAACATAGACAAGTAAACCAAACTTTATGGTCAAGTATGCCCATGACCTTGTCAATGGCTATCATACTAAAAATAAGCTAACATGTACCATATGCGATGCGTCATTCACGGGAATACGATTGTTAGACAACCACATTTTGCAGAAACATCCTCAGTTTACCGCTTCTGTGTCCAGTAAGATACTTAAATGTACACATTGCGAATACAGAACTATTGGTCAGCGGTATTTAACTTTTCATATGGCCAAACATTCAGGCGAGCTCACATGCACGAAGTGTGATGTAGCATTTGATAAAAGAATTTCACTAGACAATCACATTTTAATGAAGCATCCTGAGCTTATAGGATCTGTGTGTAGTAAGATACATGAATGTACGCGTTGTCAATACAAAACAGTTCAAAAAACAAGACTTACTATTCATATGAAGACACATGTATAGTCCTAGTCACAGATATAACGAAATGAGTCTTACAGTATATTCAGATAAGAGATAGACCGGACATAAACAAGACCACGTGATCATCGAACGCTGTAACATTCGGCAGGGACGTATTAAGAGTCACGCAGTACATATTTTAGATAGTAGATGCTGCTTTGCGTAACTTTGTAGTAAATTAGCACAATTCGATGTGTATACGATTGGTGATGGATATAGGATCATGTGGGGGTGGGGTAAGAAATATATAATGGTGTAAATATACATAAGGGTTTCAAAATTGTCGCTTCGATTTCCAGCTTCGGATGCCGCCTGATGCTTGGTGAAATACAGTCGGATACAATCTCAAAATGGCGTTTAAATTAGCCTAAATTAAAAATAATCGTATATCTCTTAAAATTGCTTTTAGAATATTGATTAGTATATTTTTTGATTTCTAGGTAAATATGTAACCAAATTAAAACGTTCAAAACGTAAAAAAATGTGCATGGTTGAACATTGTCAGAAAGTAGATTCTTGAATAGGTTTTGCCAAAATGGTTTCAAAAATGTCAATAATTAATTAAAAAATACAGTAGCTTTATAATTACTTATAACTTACCGAATTTGATGAACGACATCTTTTATTGGAAAGATGAGCTTGATGAGCTTTCATCATCGCTACTGCCTGAAGCACCAACGTCAATAATGAATGGCTCGACTTGTTCCTTTAAAATATTGTCCAGTTCCCACATTCTCTTTTCAACTTTGTCTTTTACGTGCTTAATACAGTTTTCCCATTTTTGCGCTGTTATTAATTCTAGTGCTTCTTTGAAAAGTCCTTTGAGGTCACAAAATTTAAAAGTTGTATTGTGCTTAGCTATATAATTTTTAACCTCTGCCCATATGAGCTCAATGGGATTGAGCTTGCAATGGTATGGAGGTAAACGGAGCACAGTTTTATTTTGACTTGCTGCCATTTCGTCAATGGCGTATTTTTGATATTCCGCCTTGTGATCCTTGACAATTCTTAATAATTGTACTTTCAGCATTGCTTCTTCAAAGTTGATATTTTTCGAGCGGAGCCAATTTTGAACATCAACTTTCCTTGAAGCCGTTGTTGGGACCTTCTGCATTCTTCGAGAATGATAAGGCGCATTATCCAACACAATTACTGCGTTTTCCTCTAAGTTCGGTAAAATTTTTGAAAACCACTGTTCAAACGATTCGCGATTCATTTCCTCGTGGTAATCTCCAGTTTTCTTAGACTCAAAGCACCACAGAGCGTCAACAACAAATCCATCCTCACTGCCAATATGGCAGATAATGAGCCTTTTCCCTTTACCTGGAAATCGAAGTACTAACTGGTGTACATTTATTTCAATAAGCGAACCTTTTTCAAATGTTTTCATCACATTCAGCGAAAAAACATTGAGACATGAGTATCAGATTGCTATAATTGGGATTATTTAGTCATATTGAAAGAAAGAATATTGAACGTCGTATGATTACTCAGCGCTTCACAATTTAATTTAAAGTTATAAACCTTTAAAAAATGAATGATCAGGAACCTGAAATACGCGCAAATATTAATATTAACAAATTATAACTTTATAAAGCTTTAAGTATGAATTAAAATGATTAGAAATATTAGGAACGGTACACAATATAAAACTTAGTAACTTTTTTTAAGTTTATAATATTCGACATATTTTAAGATTATATTAAAAAATTATTGAAATATCGAAAACACATAAAAACATGGCTTAAAAAAGTTCTAACAAATGAAAATGACAATAAAACATCCACGCATTTTATCGAAAGTTATAAAAGTT